TCGGATACAACAAACTCAATTGAACGACCTGTGCTTGAACCGATTCACTAGAGATTCCAACCGCAATGGCTGCTCAAATCTGAGAAGTGCTGCCTACATGCAGACTATCCTAGCGCATGCACTGTATGCAGTGACTATCCCGAGAGTGTCTGGACTCCTGGAAGCCTGTTGCGTATGATTTGGTAACCGTGCGCTAGCAAGAGCATCCTACTGTAGAACTGAAATAACTAATAAATCAGTCAACAATCCACTTTCTGTGAATCTGATTACTTCCCAGTATGGATGACATTTCGCGGCGGACCCCTTCTCATCCAGGCTGAACCACGTACAACACATGGGAAACCAGGGCCCAATGCCCGTGGCCATCACATTCAAAACCCAACTGAAAACAGTCGAACCACGGCATATCCGAGCCCGCCCCGCGATAGAGAGAGAGCCAAGGCCGGTCCAATGTGCAATGAACGGCCCAACCAGGAGAGGTTGTGGTCTGAGCTCAACCCCAACCCGACCATAGCACCTGCAGACTAAGAGCTCAGCTCGTTACAGAAGACGACGAACACATCCATGCAGAAGATGGGGGCCATTCCGAATGCGGAACCCGCGCCAGAGCTTTGAAGTTTGAATGGCTGCGCCGATCCGATTTGTAGCCGCAACCGCAAAGCCTGCCTACTATCTATCACTCATGCTTATTCGGCCTTCGGGAGAGATATACAAAATTAGTCCGGGATGGCCTGTCTCTTGTGCTGAGCTTGCTCTCCCCTGGTGGTTTTGTATGCTGGACGTCAGCTGCTACTGTTGCTCTGGTGTAGCTGTAATGTTTCACACGGTACATCGTAGCCATACGCTTTTCCCGTAAAATTGGGATAAGAACTAGAAAAGCAGTCGGGTGATGCACTGGTACAGACATAACATCGGACCCGCGAAGTCCCGCGTTTAACCTGTCATGTTACCTCTAGTGCCATGGTTGGACAAGGGTACCGAGTACTTTGAAGAGGGGCCTTGAAGTTGAGAATCTTGATGGCTGCGAATATGACTCGCGGATCTACCACGGCATTGATAAACTCACTCGTCCGGAATCAATGTATATTTAGCGGCTATTGCCCGCGCCGCATCTAAGGGCACAACGATGGGAGAAGATAAGGGAAGAGGCAGATAAAAGCGGCTGACTCAAGGATGCAGGCCAACCACTGAGTAGATAGGATTGACAATTGTGGCGTGATACGCAGTCTGCTAGTAAGTTACTAGCATTCTACCTACCGCGTCAATTTTCTAGTTTAGACTAGCTCGAACGTGCAGACGTCATGATCCCGCAAGACACGAGTACGCACACGAAGATCGACTGCGAAGCTCTCTCTCTGCCGGGGTCGCGGGAAGAGTCTTTGCTTCGGGAGGGCTTTGACCCCATTCCTCGGTGACAGAGCTCAGTTCTTCATCGTTTGGTTCGTTATTTCGAGTCTCTTGGCTGATGAAATTTGTTTGTTCTCGTCAGGACGCTGACGATCATGACACAACAGTGAAGAACATCGCATCGCGTGGCACATGCTGAAGCAGAAAGCAAACTGCAGATTAGTCATCTGAGGCGAACATAATTATGCCGTGTTCAGGGGTCAAATTTAAACAAACAAGATGTGGAAGCTGATCTTGCCGAATGCGTTGATTGGGGGTATCCATGAGAGCAAATGAGAAACAATCAAAGTGAAGAGGTCTAGAAGGAGCTGAGTTGACATGCTCGATCCCGGATTGTGGGTGGAGCCCCTCGGATCATGGATGCAACCAGCAGATGCTCGGCTGACTCAGCGGGAGAGATGCAACAAGGAATGCCGAACGATGGATGCCTCGTATTCCTGGCGGTTAAGGATCAACTCGGGCTGCTTTGCACTGCATGACATTCCACTCGGCCGGTCCAGTTGAGTTTGTATAGCACGTACCGACATTATGCATGCATACATGCAGAGCCAAGTCAGCTTCGAAAGGAGCTCCTTAATCGAATTGACTGCTGTGTCCTAATTCTGTAATGTGCGCAGATGGGAGAGAGTGCTGTATGAGGATGATCAAGTGAGGTTGAATCGATTAACTACTAGTAGTTATGCATTATCTTACTAAGCGAGTCACATTTCTTTATGCAGTGTCTACGAGGGGCAATATCTGATAGAACCCGACGGAGGGGCTTGAGCCGACAAGAATCGTGATCGTGAGATAGGCAATATAATCTTGACTTAGTCTCAGGTCCAGCCATTCTTCACAAGTATGTACTATGTAGAATTCAAGTTCCCCAGGCCTCTGTGCGAATAAACAAATGACTAATCAATATTCAACGCAGAATTCTCCACAATTGATGGAAACCCATCTATCTGCTAGCAGGAGAACACACAAGTGATAGAGAGATCTTAATTAACACAAAGCAACTCAAGGACAAGCTTGAATCTCGCATCCAGCCTTGTGTATACAGCAGCAGGCGAGGAGCAACAATGACTCGAACCTCGCGCAAGCCACCCCGAGACCCAGGTCAGCTCTCGGGCAAACCACTAGCAGAGACCCTAGAGCCATCATCCATCCTGCACAGCGAGACAGAAGACTGGACAACCTCTCGAGATCTCACCGAAAATGGTCTGTCATTTGTGCCCGAAGTGATGCAGGATCTGACCCTGTACCTGCTGGCCAACCCCAACGTCAACTCCAGCCACCTGTTCCGGGCCGATATCCTCTTCGACAGCGAGGGGATAATGCGCACCCCGCGGGAGAAGGCGCAGTCCTTCGCGCTCACTGGCAATGCCAATGCGGAGGCCATCGCATCTACTGGGGGTCGCGATGGCGTAGAGGACGAGGTCGAGGTCGAGCTCACCCCCGCGCGCGATGTCCCTGGCTTCACTCTGACCAGGACCATCGTCCGACGCCTAGTACCCCGGAACCCTAAGCTGGACCGGACCCTGGACCAAACCTGTCACTTCTACGAAGCAGAGACGATGGCTGGAACTGAAGGAGGCTGCAGTCGCTCTCTGGTGATCTATACACCCCACATCACGAAGGAAGAGGACATCCCCTACTACCACCCGACCCTGCGCTCTCTAGCCTATCTATACGACTATAACATCACCACCACCAACACCACCAATTCCAACCCCACCATCCCAGAGCATCCCTCCCAAGACCCAACCTCAGGCTCAAACCCAGGCCCAGGAACCCTAACCTTACACACGCTCCTCTTCCCCAACCTCCCCATCACCAACCGCCTAGAACGCACTCTACAAGCCCTCCTCAACACGCAAATCCGTCTCGCCCGGACCACCCGCCTACCCACCCCATCATCATCATCACCCTCCTCCACCTCCACAGCCACCAACCAAAAACACCTAGGCGCCAACAAAAATCCCCTTAAAGACAACATCCTCCCGCAACACCTCGTCCAGGACACCTACACGCGCCTCAAGGCCAAATACGCCAGCGATCTGTGCCAGAGATGGGTGGAAACCACGGAGCCCTCGAAGCACGTCTTCGAAGATCTATCCATCGCCGCCTTCCTCATCGAGCTCTGGCGCAGCATGTACGGCGTCGTCCCGAGTGATGAGCGCAGCCCTCCCGGGGATGCTATCACCACCACCACCACCACCACCACCACTACTTCAAAATTCCCCGGCTTCGTAGACGTAGCCTGCGGCAACGGTGTCCTCGTCTACATCCTGCTACAAGAAGGCTACGAAGGCTGGGGCTTCGACGCCCGCCGCCGCAAGACGTGGGCGATCTTTCCGGAGCGGATCCAATCCCGCCTGAAGGAGGAGATCTACATCCCTGCGCCTTTCAGCGATGCAGTCGGTGTCGGTGTCGGCGAACCTTCTAGTGGTTCCAGCTCCAACCCTATCTCCAACCCCAACCCCAACCCCAACCCCAATCCGTTCAACCTCACCATCCCAACGCACACCGGCCACTTCCCCGCCAACACCTTCATCATCTCCAACCACGCGGACGAACTGACCGTCTGGACGCCCCTGATGGCCGCGCTGCTGTGTCCCACCAACCCCTCCCCGTTCGTCGCCATCCCCTGCTGCTCGCATGCCTTGTCCGGCGCGAAATACCGGTATCCGCCGCCGAAGGGGGAGAGGACATCAGCATCTACCTCGGCCAGCAACAAAACGGGGCAAGGGGAGCAGCAGCCCGACTCTGGGGATTTGAAGGCCCTGCGGAAGGAGCGTCAGGATGCGCAGGCGTCGGAGGCGTCGGAGGCCGGGTTCCTGAAGAGTATGTATGGGTCGCTGACGGCGAAGACGATGGCGGTGGCCGAAGAGGTGGGGTATGAGGTTGAGAAGACGTTGTTGCGGATCCCTAGTACGAGGAATATGGCTGTTGTTGGGGGCAGGAGGGGGACGATGCTAAGGTGGAAGGGGGGAGGGGGTGAGCTGATGAATGGGACAGAGGTGAGGGTGGTGGGAGGTGCTGATGCTGATGCTGATGCTGAAGAAGTTGTGGCCAAGGTCATGGCTGCTGTGCAGCGGGAATGTGCGCGAGAGGGAGGCGTGGAAGCCGCGGCGAAGATCTGGATAGAGAGAGCGAGAGGGATCAACAGGGGTCCGGGGATGGGGAAGCAGCGTGGTGGCGGGCATTGATAGGGAGTGTTTGAGAAACAGAAGAGCGTCCCTATACGAGGATTGAATTGTGAGGAAAGATGATACAATAGAGCTGTACTATTCTATAAGAAGTTTCTAAGATTCTATAGACGTCGACGCTGAGCTCGGCTTGGCAAGAAATAAATGACTGAGAAGGGAGTCCTCATACAGTGAGTGAGAAGAATCAAGAAGAATTGCCCGAATGGTCCGAATGAGAGAACCACCACTAGAAGAACTCCGACCATGCATTTTCTATACAATGAGCGAAGAGATATTATTTGAAGTTACTTGCCTTCACCGACAAATCACACATCTACAATCGTCGGTATCACCATTGCTGAATTGGCGCCGGATCACGGCTATCATAAGAGACAACAATGGCGAGCCGTACGCATCGAATGCTTATGCCTCCTTGGGCTCGCGAGTTTCTGCCTTCAAAGAGGGATTGGCGGTCGGCGCCGAGGATGCGCGCTGCGCCGCGGCGGACTTGACAGCTGCTGCAACGGAACTGTCCCTGATGCGCTTCAGTCTCTCCGAGCGGGCTTCCCCAGGCAGACTACCCCAAACCGGATCAATGGAATCAGCTCGCCAGTTTGGCCGATGGCCAATTGCTCCACCTCTCGTTGGTAGATGCACCATAGGCGAGCCGCCTGCGCCGTCTTCACCCCACATCCTAACACGCTGGAGCTTACGCAGCTTGGCCAGCCCATACACACAGACGACCAGTGTGATGGCGAAGCAGGTCACAGAGACCGCGCCGAAACCCAGATCCGATTCTTCGATGAAGTTCTTCAAGTTCATTCCGTATAGTGCAGAAAAGAGGGTTCCAGTCGCGAGTCCGAGTGTGCCGATGCTGAATTTCAAGTCGAGAAGCATGAGGGAGTTGCGGTTGGCGTCCAAAATAGCCTTGACACTGTACACGGAGGCAATTAGCTATTTATCCATAGCAGAACTTTGGAAGCAAGTAATTCTCACACTTCTTCCGTGTTACGGATCCCTGTTACCAAGTTGCCGCTTGCCTGGACAATTTCATCGCAGACTTTATGGTATGATTCCAGTAGCATTTCGACTTCCTGGTGATCATCCTCCTCGCGCTCGATATTCTTTTGACGCTCAGTGAGGTACATCGCCGCCAAGTCGTCGTCCGCTTCCAGCAGATCATCGATAGCATCACGTACAAGTCGGGCCTTCTGCTCAAAAGTACCCAGCTTCTTCGAGTAAATCAGCAGGTGCCGCAGCTTCTCCCGATCGATATCCTCTTCCAAGGCCCGCAGAACGCGCACGACAGGTTCTCTGACGCCGTTGAACTCCTCCTCCAAACCACTTGTGACACTGATCAACACAGCTTCGAGCGCCCGGAACTCGTAAGGTAAAGCGCCCGCGCTTTGTCCCTGTCTTTGCCGCAGCTTACCCTCCAGATCATAAACGAACAGGGACTGCATGTAGGAGTCGGTTGAGCCGTAGGCGTCAAACACAAGCACACGATCGGCCTTGATCAGAACGCGGAGGTGGAGAAGATTGATGAGAATCGCGCTGGGCCGGACCAGAATGTGCGGCAGGGTTGATGAGTCGATTTTGCGCAAATCCCGTGGGAGAAGGCCATACTGGGCGCGGCTGTTAATGCGTCCTCCCCCTCATCACAATGGAGCATGCATGTCACTCACCTTGGCAATCAGCTCACTCTTCTTGAACTCCCCGTTCACCAGGGTGACGTTTCCGTTGCTATCAAACTCCGTGCATCGCAGTCGCGGCTCGTTAGAAGCCTTGGCCGCCAATCCGCGCCCAAGTGTGAAGCCCGGCTCCGTGCCGTCACCGATCAATGTGGGCGGACTGCACGCATACTTGTTGCTTTCCGCAGCCTTGCTCCGCCTCCAATCAAGGAGCCTGCGGAAGAGAGGCCGGTCTTTGGTGGAAACGGCGCGCGATGGTTGCGCATTAGGGAGGTGAAATGCCGGCGTTGCGAGAGGTGGAGTAAGTGAGGCTCGACATCGTGTACCACCACGGCCTCGAGCTGAGAAACTCGGTAGCGGTAACAGACTTGCCTGAAGCGGTTCTTGCGATGGTGGGAATTCGACCCGATTGCAGTTATTGGTGAAGGTTCGCAGTGAAGGCAAACGAGGCGGTGGGCGAGTCTGGCCGCAGGCTGTTGCGTTGGCGGTAAAAAAAAGTGACTCGGACTGAGAGCGCAGAAACCGGAGAAGAGACGCCGACGGGGCTGAAGATTTCAGAGACGACGGGGACGGCATTTCTGAGGCGCGTGCGACGACTTCATCAAGAACCACAAAGACAACCGCCACTCATCCTTGGGTAGTTTCTGACCGGCGGAGATGGATTCGACCATCTTTTTCCCGCGCCCCAAGTTGTTGCGCGCCTCCGGGCCTATGATGATCCGGCTCCTTATCCATTACCTATCTAAGATAAAGATTTCAGTTCTCTTTTCCTCTACACCTGCAAGGAACCATGACAGGCAGACAATTCAATGGTGAACGATGGGTCCGGTATTTCATGCCTTCTAAACCTCCTACACTGATCTATTTGTTGCGGTTTGTCTACTCTGAATCATGACTACTTCCGGGAGGAATGATATCTATGAGCCAGTAACCTGGCGGATCTGCCAACGTTCTCTGGGATGTCACTCCACCTTGGTTGCCGGTTCTGATATGAACCCAGCATAAGAAAATCCTTAAATCCCTGCCCGCCTGCTGTCTGACTGGAGCAGTGCAATCAAAGAGTGGTTAGACTGCTGCGGGAGGTGTGTTTACTGTACAGGAGAAGACTCATACATCCCAGCATCCTATAGAAGACTTGGGTGCCACCCGATTGGACGCTCCATTCGTGTTATGACGTCACAATACGGAAATGTTCCTGACTAAGTAACCGGTGGGCCACCTGGCTGCCCAGCAACTCAGTACTACGTATCGTGTCTAGGATAAAATGACATGACGAGACGCCAAAGTTCGAATTTTTGTCTATATAATAAAATAGTGCAATGCGTGCAAGAAGCTACAAGCTTCCGACTAGGAAGTATAGCTGCATTGCGCATGGACAGTCTTGCAAAAGACACTTACCGGCCAGCCGCGCAACAAGCGCTGCAAACAGCAAGAAACGATATTGAACAAAGGTATCCGGCGCGAACAAACATGCTCAATGCATTGCAACGCCAGAAAAAATCATGGGAAAGGTAGATACAACGCAACAATCACCAATCATCATCATCCTCCTTTTCGTCATCTGTCGATAGAAATCAGCTCTGAATATACCGCAAGAAGCGCATAGCAAAGAAGGCATGTACTTACCGCTGCCGCTGACTTTCTGCTTTCTCTTGGCCAGGGCGTCCTGCAGAGCTCCAGCCAAACCTCCTTGAGGCGCGCTTCCAGTACTTGGTGTGGCCGCAGCTGACTCGCTAGAGCCGGGCACAAAGGCACCACTTCGGTCTTTCTTTTCCGAATCTTTGACCCTCCGCAAGCCCGTACCTCCCTTCCCTCCAGATGCTCGGATAGCAGCCATGAGGTCATTTCTACCTGCATCAGGAGCAGGCAGCGCTGGAGCGGCACCCCCTGGCGGGGGTGGGGGCGGAGGACCACCAGCCCCAGGAGGGGGTGGCGGGGGTGGAGGAGCGCCAGATCCAGGGGGAGGAGGGGGAGGAGGGGGAGCAAAAACCGCCTGGTGCGGGTGGCGGCGGCGGAGGGGGAGGCGGTCCAGTGCTGGACGGAGGCGGCGGCGGCGGCGGAGGTATCGAAGGTGCTGCATTTGAGGAAGGGTGTGACGGGGGTGGTGGCGGCGGTGGAGGAGGCACGCTCGACGATGGTGGTGGGGGAGGAGGCGGCGGACCAGCAGCACTCGTAGGTGGCGGCGGAATCGGCCGGGAGCTGGAAGGCACAGGTGGAGGAGGCGGGGGTACTGAAGCCGGGCTTCTTGGAGGAGGCGGCGGAGGACCTGGGGCGGCAGCATTGGGGATTTTGGGTGGTAGTTGAGGCGGCGCCGCAGGACTCATAGTGCGCGGAGGCGGCGGCGGAGGTGCAGAAGGTAAGGGGCTGCGGCTGGGTGGCGCCGGCGGAGCAGACACCTTTCGCACTCCTTCGAATGGAGGTGGAACACCGAAGCGAGAGTGATTCTCTTCCATTGGCGTCTTTGGAGGCCGCGGGGGAGGAGGAGGGCCTGGGTTTGTGCTGGACATTGCTCGCTGACGACCAGGGGCCACGGATGCCGCTATGTGGGCAAATTTACCGGCATCCGCAATCGGTGGAGGGGCACGGAAGCGGTTCCTTGGGGGCGAAGGCTCGCGATTTGATGCAGGCGTGGCAGGTTCATCATCGACATCAGTCCGAGTCCTGCGCGACGGAGGAGGGGGTGGCGGAGCGCCGCGCCTGCTGCCACCACTATTTCCAGTGTTCTGCGGACTGAGGGCTGCCACTTTCGGAGCTGGCGGTGCAGATGGGGGTGGTGGAGGGGGAGCCTTTCCTCGCCGCTGATCTTCAAGAAGAGATGAACTGGAGTCGGAACCAGCAGCGCCCTGTTTCTGCTCAATATAAGCCTTGATGAAATCGGAATTCTCCGCTATCTGGTCCTCCGTGATTCCCATCTGCAGAAGTTCATCTAGCAGTCCCTTCCATGCGGGGTCGCTAGTATCAAAAGGCAACTCCTTGCGTGGCGGGCTGGCGGCGGGCAGCGGGGGAGCGACCTGAATCGAAGGTGCAGGTGGTAATTCCGCAGGCGTGACCGTTTGAGCGTGAGACCCGGACGAAGAGCGATGCCCAAGCAAGCTGCCGAACAACGATCGACCCACGCCATGTTTGCCATTGACGACTGGGGCTGGGCCCTGGCCACGAGTCGACGCAAAAGGTGTCAACCGTGTCTCTTTGCTCGCATGCTTCTCCCGCTCGTGGACCTTCTTGATGAAGGTCTTAGCCTCTTTTTCGTCGGCGAAAGAGAACCCGGCGGGGCAGTCTTCGAGTTCAAAGGTGTGGAAGAATGTGCGGTCCTGATTATATGCGAAATTATCGTAGATTTCTTGGTCCCATATAACCCCCCTTCCTGCAGGCTGCACCGTAGAGAGTTGGATGATCAGTACAGAGTGACTATGTCTTGGATCAGGGATGCGCTTACCGATACATCCACCAACTTGAGCCAGAAGGTACGGCCGACTAGGTCATTTGCCAGCACTGCAGCACCTTGTAAACCAGTGTAGGTCCATCTTTGAGGATCCGGATATGCAACGTAAAGGCGCGCAACGGCTACAGCAAGGATTTTGTTCGCAGGCTTGGGGACAGTTCTCCTGACGATTTCCTTGTCGGCGTCGGTAAGTATAGAAGGCATGGTGATGTACCGGGAGTTTTAGACAAGTGAGTAAAGCGCGCGCAGAGTGGGATTGGCGATCAGTGCGATTATATAGTGTCTTGCGGACGCATCGCAGGTGGTTTGGTGCGATTCTAGAGGCCCAATGGATCGAAAGGGTCGTTGATCCTCAGGCACGACTGTTGGCTGATAGGGCGCGGCAGTAACGGATGTCACTGGGAGTAGGGGGTAGCTTGGATTCCCTCGGGTTCTGAGAGCTGGGTGGAAAGTTAGCATGAATGGCAAAAAAAGTAAGATATTCTAATACAGAATCATCAAGAAGGATGCGCATAGGGAGACACCGACCGCTGGTGTGAGAATCTGCCTTGAAGGTTGAATGACGGGGGCAAAGAGGTCAAGTAGCAAGTAGCAGGAAGAGAAACGTGAGGGGAGGGGGAGCCTGGGCGGAGAGAGAAAGAGAGAGGCTTAGGCGGGCGGCGGCACTAAAGAGGCGCGCAGTGGGGATTCCGGTGGGCTGGGCCTGCAACGTACGAGTACGAGTAGTTACCTCTACTACTCTCCACTGCATAAAGAGTACTCTACTGACTATGGCAAAATGGCAATTATCCTCATGTCTTCTTCACATAAATGCTGTTCGTATGTTAGGATTTCTGGTTAAATCACTATCATCGCAATCGCTCCCATAGTCAGAAGTCCTTATTGTGTCCTTATCCTAGACGGGATGTTGCCGCATTTGTCAAAGGCCATCTTAGGCAGAAATGACACAGTAAAGTAGAAGACAATAACTGCTAGAATGTGATGAACTTCGGCGTCTAGGCAGCTTCTTATTCCTGTAGTAGTACGTCTCAATCTTGAATTGGTCATGTCATGTGGCTGCGAGTGTGCTTACATTGTCAACTTATCAAGTCGAATTATCAAAGCCCAACCGACGTCATCGCGTTGCCTGCAACTATAGAAAAGCCCGCTTGTCTCTGGCCTCCTCTCTCGTTGCAACTGTTTTAAAACTCCCCAGAATCATCCAACTGTTCTCTATCCTCACTATACATTTATTCATCACTAAGTCAAGCTAAACACGTTACTCATCACGATGCCTGTCATCCCCGAGCCTGCTAGCTTCCCTACTGCCCACGGCAGTAACAACGATAGCCCTTCCAACTCCTCGGAGCAGAGAAACCCTGGCCAGGATACAAAGAAAGCCTCGATGCTCGATCACCTGTCAAAGGGCCCTCAGATCCCGGACAGTGAGTCTGGAGTTTTCTTGCTGCTGAGCGGTTCTCCTCGTTGACCCTGCTTTCTTAGACATGCCACCTAAAGCAACAAAGGAAGAGATCGAGGCGCGTAAGAAGGAGCTGAACCAGTGAATGTGCCGGACATCTCAGATGGTCACCTACTTTCATACTTCAATTGTATTAATCATGAGAATTACGTACGTTGTTCGGTAAAGAATTACTTTTTGACGTTGCGATTGCGGGGATATATTTACTTAGCGCAGACTGCACCATGATACCTGCATACCGGTGTGCTTCCTTTGCACCAGTCTGTGAAACCCATGAAACCCATAGATAGACAAGTCTTCCCCATTATCTCTCTTCGTAGAACTAGCACATCAACTGATTGCATGAGTATACCTCATCTGCCCTGCTTCTGCCCGCAACCCGTTGCAGGATTGTCCCAAAAAGGGATCATTACATCATGATACACGTGACCCCGCGTTCACTTTGCTCCTCACAGCGCGATGCGAGGCTGTCTTCTGTCGCGTCAAGAGTTTCCTCATGCCGCCTGAACGAGCCAATGTCCCGGTGAAGCTGTCCCTGCCTCTGGTAAGTTTTCTGATGTCTTGTACATCCGGCTCAACATGTCGAGGACTCGCTAACAGGATACAATTAGCAATACCAGCAGGACATCTTCACCGAACTGCGCGGGGAGGATGAATTGGTGGTTCTTGCTCGAGGCCTCGGCCTCCTCCGGCTAGTGACTAATCTACTTCACTTCTACGATGCGGCTGGAAACAACCTTGTATTGGTCGTTGGTGCTGACGATCGAGAGAATGAGTGGATTGGAGAGGGTGCGCGGCCTGATTGCGGTCTCAAACTATGACGGCAGTCCTCGGAAAGTGGCTGACCACAGCTTGCAGCGCTTGCGGAACACTATGCAATCAGTAAAACGCCTCTGGCCAGGGGTCTCAAGGTGATCAACACTGATAGAGCTACGGTTTCGTTGAGGTAGGTCACGGTCGGTCCACGCTCACGGTATTTCGTGCTTAACGTCGTACAGAGAGAAGCTATATGCCGCGGGTGGTATTCTGAGTGTGACATCCAGAATACTAGTGGTGGACTTTCTGTCCAGTAAGTGAAACACATTGTATGCTTTCAAGGGTGTTGATCTCTGATAACGCCTTCATTAGAGCTCCTCGACCCTTCGAAAGTGACGGGCATGGTTGTGCTCCATGCCGACAAGTAAGCCACTAACTACCGGAATGCATTCCGATACTGATGAGGTGTAGAATTCTTGCAACTTCCCTCGAAGCTTTTATCCTTCGTGTATATAGAGAAGCGAACAAGACCGGATTCCTCAAAGCGTTCTCAGACTCCCCCGAGCCGTTCACAACAGGGTTTGCTCCATTGGCTACCTCCATGCGAAATCTCTTTCTTCGCAAAGCATCGCTATGGCCGCGCTTTCATGTCACCGTTGCAGAGTCGTTGGAAGGCCATAGAAAAGCCGAGGTGATCGAGCTTGAGGTACCGATGAGTGACAAGATGCGGGACATACAAAACGCGGTCCTTGAGTGTGTGGAAATCTGCATCGGAGAGCTAAAGAAGGCGAATACGGGGCTTGATATCGCAGACTGGACTCTGGACAGTGCTTTGCATCGAAGCTTTGACATTGCCATTAGGCGCCAGCTTGACCCGATGTGGCATCGGGTGAGCTTCAGAACCAGGCAAATTGTCAGCGACTTGTCGGATCTGCGTTCTATTCTCCAGTATGTTCACTTCTTCGGTCTATGAAGTCTGCTCCCACTGCAATGGCCGTATCGATCATCCATTTCAAATTACTGACTGAACGCCAGTGCCCTGCTTACCTATGATGCCGTTTCGTTTCTCAAATTTCTCGACCTCATTGTGACCGCCCATACTCCGCCTCCCGGCTCTACAAGGCACAATTACTCCCCCTGGCTCTTCCTTGATGCAGCTGACGTGTTATTTCAAACGGCTAAGGCGAGAGTATATCAAGGCAAAATAAGTAGTGAGGTGGCTCGTTCATCATTGACTTCGTTTCCTACTACCCTGCAACCGGTTCTAGAAGAACAACCGAAGTGGGAGGTACTGGCAGAAGTGCTTGAGGAGATCGAGACCGATGCATATCTGAACCCCTCAAATGTTGACGAATCAAACAGCACTGTGTTGATTATGTGCAGCGACCAGAGAACCTGCCGTCAGCTTCGTGAATATCTTGCAACAATGCATGCTCATGTCGGAAACAGGAAGCGGGAGAGCTCCGATCCCGGTAATGCTGTGGGTGAAAAGAAAGGCTCGGCTGAAGTTATGATGCGCCGAAGGCTACGAGAATACCTAGACTGGAAGGCCTCTCTATCCAACGTCAGCAAGAATCTTTCCTCCAAACCACCCAACGAAGAATCCAATGGCGCAACGAGCACGCCTGCACCGGGGACTGTGAACCCCAGAGCACCCGCGAACAAACGACGTCGCGTTCGTGGTGGAGGTGCAGCAGCAGGCCCCGGACGAGCGCCCAACGCCGGCATTCAAGTGGAGATGGAACCTTCGGGTCAAGTCACGGCACTCTTAGATGAAATAAAGCCCACAGAAGTCGAGGAAACCCAGAAGGAGGAGATAGTTGTGGAGGACTTGGACGACATGGATGACTATTACGAACTATATGATATGAACGATTTGATTATGATACACCCTTACGATGGCGACATGGACGAGCACATCCTCGAGGAGGTTCGTCCACGGTACATCATCATGTACGAACCAGACCCTGCTTTCATCCGACGAGTCGAGGTCTACCGGAGCTCTCATGTGGGCAGAAATGTGCGCGTGTATTTTGTCTACTATGGAGGTTCAGTGGAAGAGCAGCGGTACCTGAGTGCTGTACGACGAGAAAAGGACTCGTTCACGAAGCTGATCAAGGAGAAGGGCGTACGTATCTCCTGCACCTCTCAACACACCGGTTGCTAACGAGACCTACAGAGTATGGCCGTGACTATCGTCCATGATAAAAGCCTAGAGGACCCCCAGGAGCAGTTCCTCCGGACAGTGAACACCCGCATTGCAGGAGGTGGCCGACTCGCCGCAACGGCCTCACCACCGCGGGTCGTGGTCGACGTCCGGGAATTCCGAAGCGCGCTCCCGTCCCTCCTGCACGGAAACAACATGATCGTGATCCCCTGCCAGCTGACCGTTGGCGACTACATCCTGACGCCGGACATCTGCGTCGAGCGCAAGTCCATCCGAGACCTGATCACCTCCCTGCGCAACGGCCGCCTCTACAACCAAGCGGAGACGATGCTCCAGCACTACAAGAACCCCTTTCTGCTGATCGAGTTCGACCAGAATAAGTCCTTCACCTTCGACGCCTTCGCGTCCGCGACCACGCCTGGAACCTCCTTCATGACGGACTTCGGCTTCTCGTCCTCCGGGACCAGCACCCTCTCCGCGAATAGCTCCCTGGTCAACCCCTCCAGCCCCAAGTCGGCGCAGCATCTGCTCGTCCTCCTCACCCTGACCTTTCCCAAGCTGAGGATCATCTGGTCCTCCTCCCCCTACCAGACCGCCGAGATCTTCGCCGAGCTGAAGAAGAATAACCCGGAGCCGGACCCGATCCGCGCCGTGCAGATCGGCCTCGACGTGGATATCGCCTCGTCGTCCCACCCGGCCGGGGACATCATGGCCGCGGCGGGCATCGAGCACCGGACCTTCAATCTCCTGCCTCAGGACATGCTCCGAGCCGTGCCTGGGGTGAGCCCCAATGTTCTCGAGCGGCTCATCCTGGAAACGGAGAACATCCACGAGGTTGCGAATATGAGCGTGGAGCAGCTGGATCCGCTCGTGGGGATTGAGGCTGCACGCAAGATCGTCAGTTTCTTCCGGAAGAGCGTGTTTGAGGATTAGTTCAAGACGCCCGCAGTACCAGGATGTACATCATGAGTCTTTTGCATCAGCCGCATTTTGTGTAATTAAAGCGGTATGAAAGGGATAAATTACACGTCAAATCTACGTATAGTATGGAGTTTGCTTTGATAGTAAATTTTAGAATTCGTAACCTTTTCATAACTCTATCATCCTGAAAAACAAAGGAGCAGCTTTTGAAGAAGGTAAAACCAGGGAACAGAAAAAGAAAATCGTCAACACAAAGCCAGGCCGCACGCAGCCCGTCTTTTTTTCGGTACGTATTGCGACCCACTCCTCCGTAGACAACCCGAAGGCGGCTCTCTTGATGGATCATGATCCGGCGAACCAAGAAGACCCAACTGAGATAACCCGCAGGTTTAACCCTGCCGATGATTCATATCCTATATTGCGAAAGGCCACACGCAAGATTGAGGCGAGCGCATGTAGCGAAGCGGGTGAAAAAAGGCGCCGCTGCTGCCTTCATTCATCCTCCAGAGACCTTCCCGGGGAGAAAAAGACGAATGGCGTAGGACAAGATAAGGCCCAGGCCAACCGCCGCCAAGGTTTCACAGAACCCCTCCGGCGCAAGCACATGCTTGCTCCCACAGGAATCCAAGAACCGAGGCGAATTTTCCTTCCCGGAAAAAAGGACGTTTGACGTGTCGAGAGGAATAGCATGAAGGACGTGTGGCGGGGGAGAGACAAGAGTAAGTCCCAGGGGAGCTCTCCTGGCGCAGTGGGGGGTAATGAATGCATCGGAGACGAGAGAAGAAGGCGAGCTTAGAGCTCGTCGACATCGATCTCCTTCTCCTCCTCGCTCTCGCGGTCCTCGTCGAACTCGACGTTGTCCTCGAAGCCCTCGTGACCGTAGGTGTCGGTCTCGTTGATCTTGGCGTGTTCGGGCAACTCGCCGTAGGCCTTGAGACTTCTAGCCTCGTCGGCGGTGTACTTCATGATGACGTCGCCCTTCTCGTCCTGGTAGTCACGCAGCGAGAGGAGGATGATGTCACCCTGGTTGATCCAGACCTTCTTGCGGAGCTTGCCACGGATGTGTGCCAGGCGCTTCTCGCCGTCGAAGCACAGCGCCTCCAGGCGGCCGTTACCGAGCATCTTCACGACCTGCGCATACTCCTGGCCCTCCTCCTTGAAAACGAGCTCACGCTTCTCGTTGTCGTTCTCGTTCTTTCCACGACGACGGTTCTTACCGCCCTGTTGGTAGTAAAAACATGCGTTAGCACAAGGGTCCTCATATGTAGCAAGGCTGTGAGAAGAATCCCGCAAAGTAAATTTCACCAACGCCAGCCTCGCCACCTAGAACTACCACAGTACCCGGCTGATGTACTCGGGCGCAGCGGGATACGGTAGTATGAGTCGTGGCGACCAGCAAGCCTGAAAGCGAAAATCTGTGAAGCGGGGTTCACGGAGGGTTGATGTTCTCACCTTTCCCTTGTTCTTGGGCATGGTGCAATCTCGCTAACCGCGTTGGTCTTTCACTCGATGCGATAGCCGATGATCGGACACGAAAGGGGTGGATTGTTGAGATGGACGTCCCTACGGACCAGCAGAGGGTTGAAAGTGGGGGTGGAAGACAGAAAGAGACAACGATGATTTCGACGCTTTTCAGGCTCTGCCGCCTCTTATGTAAGCACTAGTGGGGGGAGTGGCGTGGCAGCCTGATTGATGCCTTAGGACATCTGCGTCAGGTCCACCATTCACAAGCAGAAACCGTCGACCGCCCGGCAGAAATGGTAGAGTCGCGTTATCGATAGAGCCTGGAGGAAGAAAGTAATAACTCAGTAGCTTCAATAACTGTTAGTAACCTATGACCCATGCAAACATGGATCTTGACAACTGACTAGTACTCTCCGACGCGCCTCCTCTGCTCTGTGGCATCTGTACCTGGCAGCGCTGTTATATTCACAACCAGCGTATATGAAACTGACGTACTAAAGCCATCAATTGTCGCTTTCAAGCTCGTCGCTTCCGAACTTCCATCTGCCCCATCCAGTCTACCGACAGAGTGCTTTACTTGTTTTCTGGGCCAGAAAGTTGAACTCAATCCCGGGACTTCAGTGCTACCTCGGTGCTGACTGCCCTTCCTTCTGGGGATCCGCCTGCATTGTCCTATCCCACCCTCGTCAATAGGAACCGACTCTCTCGACAAAGGGCATTCACCTGAGAATCAATGGCCAAGCGCGCAGCGAGGCTCGGAGGGGCCACAGGGAACCTGCGCTTCCAAACGGCACGATACACCCTTCGTTATCAAGTCGAACACGAGATGCCTTTCATCGCCGCTCAACAATTAGCTTTGAACAACCCTATAAGAGTCAAAATTGCTCATATATACCAAACTCGGCCTCGCGATACGCTATGGTACTCATTTGGCCTTAGAATGCTTTTAGATTACAAGAGTGTCGTTCGATCATGGGCGATGGGAAGGTCCAGAGTGGCGTTTCGCAAAGCTTTGGCGGAGCGTGGATACGCTCAGGACGGCAAAGCGATCAGCTCTTTTCCAAGGGCCGCTACTGAGGAAACACAGATTGCCGGCTTACGAGGATCGGTTGACTTTACCGTTCGGGAAGAGGTTGTCACAGCAAAGTCTTCGGACATTGAGAAGGATATGCGAGAGATTGTGGACAAAATAATCAGGGTGATGCTTCATGCTCCGAAAGCTGGGACTGGCAAGCTGAAGCAACGTGTCTTATGGGATAATAAGCAGTCTAAGCGTAAATGATACACAGTTTACACTGACTTAAAATGAGAATGGCACTTTCTTCTGTAATCAAATGGAGTGAATAAACATCTTGCATGGATGGTATGAAACAGCGTGATGGCGGTTAAACGGTCCATTGACAACTTAGGTTTGGTTTGTTCCTAACCGGCCGATCTTCGAGAAACCAAACATAACACTCCATCTCCTCCTCCGACTTGACTTACGTACTCCTCCTCTTCCTCATCTTTCTTGTCATCGCGCCGGCAAGACTGCCTGGACAGAGACTTCAATTCCTGGGCATTAAATACCCCTTGTGTTTCATCGTAAATCATTGAGTTTGCGCGCTATCTCTGGTCGCTCCGCCGGTACACTTTACAGCTTGCGCTCCTCCACCTAATCCGCCATGTTGGTATCCTTGACTGTCGGGAAGGTCGACGCCGGAGTCGCCGTCCTCTTGACTCAAGACAACAGATTGGTAAGTGGCTCTTCTACTGTTACTGGAATTGTGACGACTGTGTGATGACAGAGGCTCCTTTGCATCTCTCGAACAAACACCTCACCTACCTACTTCATGCTAATTCGCCTATCACAATCTCCCCCAGATCGAATTCCCCTCCGTGCTCCTGCCTAACAACATCACATCCGGTAGCATCGTCGACATCACCGTCGCGCGCAACCACGCCGCCGAAACTGCCAGCGCAACCGCCTTCCAGACGCTGCAGAAACGCATCCTCAACACCTACGGCGTCAAGACCCCCACGCCTCCGATCCTCCGCCTCCGCAACGCAACCCAGACCTCCCTCGTCCTCGAATGGGATCCCATCGACCTGGCCACCGCGTCGCTGAAATCCCTTTCCCTCTATCGCAATGGCTCCAAGGCCGGCTCGATCCCTCGCCCGCTCGAGACACGTAGCACCAAGATCAGCGGCCTGGCCATCCACACCGAGTACACCTTCCACCTGGTGCTGCGCACCACCGCGGGGACCTACCAGTCCGAGAAGCTCGTCTGCCGCACCCACAAGATGACCGATCTGTCCGGCATCACGGTCACGGCGGGCGTGCTGCACCCGCAGCAGAAGGATGCGCTCGCGGCCGCGCTCGACCGCATCGGCGGGAAGCTGATCGACACCGTCCGCATCGATACCACGCATTTTGTCTGCACGGAGGGCCGCGGCCCCCTCTGGGAGAAGGCGGTCGAGATGAACATTCCCGTGGTCGTGCCCGAGTGGGTCGATGCCTGTGAGGCCGAAGGCACCATCGTCAGCGTCCGCGGCTACTATCTGAATGCGGATCCCAAGGCCCGTCAGCTGGGGCCCATTCATGGCTCCACGCAGCATCAGCGCACGACATCGACCGCGACGTCGCTCCTGACCGCCGCCACGGGTCAGCCTCAGATCAGCCAGAACCCAAACCCAACCCCGAGCCCGAACCAAACCCAGGACCAGGACCAGAATCCGATCCAGAACCAGTCGCCATCACCTTCGCCATCGAACCTGGCCCCCTCGGGAGCCCTGCAGGTACAGCAGCAGCTCGAGGACCCACCGCTTACCCCATTCCCCGGAGCCGAAATGACAGGTCAACCGACAGCGGAAGAGAGGGAGGTCTCGTCCGACGAAGGTCGACTGTCCCCACCACCGCCGGTACCCCCCAAAGACGACGAGGAAGAAGCGAGGGAGGACGAGCACGCGGAGGACGAGCGACCCGTTCAAGAGGAGCACGATACGGCGGAGGTAGCAACGTCCGCGGACGCCAAAGCCAGCGATAGCGATCATGACGAACAGACAAGCACAGCAGATGACCAATCCGACCACCACATAGAGGAGAACAAGGGCAAACCATCAGGAGACGATAAGGATAAGGAGCGCCATTCCAAGGAAGGTGAAGGTGATTTCAATGAAGTTCCACTATAGTGTTGTCGCTGCTGCTGTTCATTAAGCCATACTTCCGGCTATTTCTTTTCTTTTGTTATTTTCATCTTTTTTCATCTTCTACTTTTTACCCATTACTGCGACGATCTTCAAATGGACCTTATTTAGTAGCGCCTATGAATGTATAGCCGATAGAGGAAAAGAATAATCAGTCAACCGGCTCTAGATTCCCGAAGCCATGCTCCATTACCATGAGCGTTTCTATCTTGCCGAATGCATGGTATTATCCCACCGGTTGTAGTTGTGTTTGTTTGTGGCGTCTTCCTAGTTTGGTGTTTGTTGATGTTTTTCTCGACTTGGCGCCGTTTCCGCCCAACCTTGAGTTTGGTAAAGTACAATATGCGGCAGTGCATTGTGGATTCAAATCTAGAAATTTATGTTCCTTTTTGGTGCTACTAAATTTCTTCTTTCATTTATATTTTTTTGACGTGATTTATGCACGCATCCCACGTGGAGGGTACCAATTCGGCACGTAGATCTATCATTGTGTAAGCTACTGCAGTGTTGTTGTTTGTGTTGTTGTCAGTGCGCATGATATATTTACAGTATAGTTGTCCGCGGGCTTGGCCCTTGGAGATTTGTTTCCAACCACCATCTACATTTCGTTCCCACCTTCTCTAATTGTTTTTGTTTGTTCATCTTATATATGTTTATCATCCCAAGGTTTCTAGTTGACTGTACGGACAATATCGTCGATAGCCTGCGCTACATAGGCAACGTTGCCTTGGCTCACTGCGATAAATCATTAGTCAAGGCTGCTACAACCCGGGAAAAAGGCGGGATCAACTTACAGCCACTGATGGAGGCTCTGCCGGACTTGAGGAGGTAGATGTGGTACTTCTCCTTGAGGGCCTCGACCTGAGTCGGGGTGAGACCGGTGTAGGAGAACATGCCGTTCTGCAGAAGCGGGGTTAGCATTAGGTGGGTGGGTTTTGAGTTGGGATTTCCAAAAGAGTTTTGTGGATTGCGAATGCAACTTACCTGCTCAACGATGTGCTTCCACGTTCCAGGGGTCTCCAACCGCACGAGCTCGTTGAACAACGCCTGGCGCATGGACTTGATGCGCGAGCTCATGACCTTCAGATCGTCGTGCCACTGGGCGGTCAGCTCGTCGTTGGTGAGGACCTTCTTGACGATGGTGCAGCCGCCGACGGGGCCCATGGAGAACTCGCCGCGGATGAGGTGGCAGAGGTTGTTGACGACGAGGTCGCGGAGGTTCTGGCTACCCTGGGGCAGCACGTAGTGGAAAGCGCCGACGCGCTGGCCGTACAGGCCGAAGTTCTTGGAGAAGCTCTGGGCGACGCACATCTCGAGGTGCGGCTTCTCATTGAGGAAGTAGCGCACGGCCCAGGCGTCCTCGTCGGCGGAGCCCGACGCGAACCCCTGGTAGGCCGAGTCGAAGAAGGGGAAGATCTGCTTGCGCTCGCACAGGTCGGCGATCGCCTTCCACTGCTCCCGGTTGGGGTCCAGGCCCGTGGGGTTGTGGGCGCAGGCGTGCAGCAGGATGACGTCGCCGGCCTGGGCGCTGGCCTCGAGCGTCGCCATCATGCCCTCGAAGTCGAAGGAGCGCGTGTCCGCCTTGTAGTAGGGGTAGGTGCGCCGCGGCACCCCGGCCAGCTCCCAGATGGTCAGGTGGTTGGCCCACGACGGGTCCGACAACCACACCGTCCGCGGCTTCATCTTGTGCGCCAGGAACAGCGCCCCCAGGTGGTTGGCGCCCGTGCCGGCCACCGCCTGCACCGACCCGATGCGCCCCTTCTGCGCCGTCTGCTGCTCCGTCGCCTGCTTCGCGTCGAACCCGAACATCAGGTCCCGCGCCAGCTCCAGGAACGGAATGTCCCCCTCAATCGCCGTGTACTCGTGCCGGAACAGGTTGTCCTCCGCCAGCAGCTGCTGCTCCGCCTGCCGCACCACCGGCAGCGGCCACGGCTTGCCATCGTCGGTGCGGTACACGCCAACCCCCAGGCTGACCTTCTGCGGGAAGGTGTCGTTGTTGTAGGCGCGGTTCAGGGCGAAGATCTCGTCCGCCGGCAACGGATGCAAGTCGAGGACGGTCATGGTGGGTAATGAGGGATTGTGGGGGGTTAAGTTGAGGGTATCTTCGATTGTTGTCAGCGAGGTAGGCTCGATGAAGTGTATCAGGTTCCGGGGTAAGTTCTTCTGCACCTACCTTAGAGCTTAGAGAGGGGGGGGTTCCCGAGGGGCAGTGGGTTAGAATTTAAGGATTGCCGGTCGGTGGAGCAGTGGGATTTTTAGTTGGATCGGAATGGGGACACGGGTGACGAGCAGGTTTACAAGAGGCTAGCAGCACGCTCTTAACAGCACAATATCAGATCTTGCTGGTATTGAATGGAGACTCGAGATGGAGAGCAACATACGAGATACTCAATGCAGCAAGAGAAAGACGGTGGACCAAATGCATGAGTCAATAATCAGCTGTGCATGGCATGCAGGATTGGCCGATATCGCCCTCGTGGATCCCCAGCCAAATATCCGCCGGTTCGGTTCTTCTAGGCATGGCTAATCCCTTTTTCTTTTTCTTTTTTGCTTTCGCCGCTGACGACAGTCGACCGACGGGAAAGCCCGCTTAGTGAAGGGTCTCTTGGAACCGTGGTTCATCGCAGGAAGAGGCCATTGTGACTCGTGTGACTGCAACAGCCCGTGCCATTGATATCACTACTCGTTGGTGTCGTCCATTTGATGAGTCGGTTGCTGGGCGGTGACGAGAATGACAGGAATGGATCATGTGGCTGGCCACATTGCTTTGAGCAGCAGTGCATGGACTGCACAGAATCGGACTTCTACAGTCGTTACAGTTCAATTGTCTGCGCAAGATGGAGGGTTGAGATAGCGCATCCCCAATTGGAGTTCGAATCTGGATATGTCAAATCGAGCTCATGGTGAGGTTCAAGTCGGATAAAAGCGGACAAAATGCCGGCCATCTGCTCGGACCCCCCGGTTGTAGCCGAGCTGGAACTATAGGATAGAATCAACGCTATACACTCCTCGCTTGTCAGGTTTATGACGCCTTAGGACTAACAGCGAGTTCTTATCTTGCCAATGAAGCAAACAACTTATCCCAATAGGAAGCAAGCCTGCGAAGTATAGTACTGTACATAGTAGTTCTGTGCAATGCTTGATCGGGGTAACCCCAATCGACTCGGTCGCTACTTGATAACGATGATGAGGGGCTGTGAGGGGAAGTCTTCATACCCGGCCAACTCGGCCTAGGGGAATCGACCATCTTACATTCGACTCCATTGGGCTTATTCCGTCATATCTAACTCTACTGCTTACTTCTATACGACCAACAACATGGCTTCACTGAATGACGAAAAGCTCTTACATGACATCCGCCCGAAGGTGTTAACCCAACCACTACACAACAGCATCCCTCTGGAGCTGCTGTCGCGATTTGACCCGGTCTTTGTTGAGAACCATAACAAATATAACGCGGGAAGGCTTCACACCCATGAGATTCCCATTGAAGAGTTCCGTCGCAATCCAGCCAAATATGCCATCAGCTATGGCCGTGCGAGCGGTCCAGATATCTACCGCATCTCTGAACAGAAATGCCCCGTCCAAGGGGGAGAGATAGGAGTACGCATCTTCGAACCTGAACCCGTGGTCGACGAGCATAGTAAGGTCCAGAAGAGGGCGGCTTATATCAATTTTCACGGCGGTGGGTGGGTGTTCGGTGACCTATCGAAGGATCACGACTTCTGTAAGAGAGTCGTCGACGGGCTGGAAGGGCAGCTGGTGGCCTTTGATGTCGACTACAGACTAGCCCCAGAGCATCAATACCCAACACCGGTGGATGATTGCTGGACAGCGATCAACTGGGTCAGCAGCTTCTTCTTCTTCTTCTTCTTCCCATTGTAATGATCTGACCGCAAAACTAACTACCAAGACAGGTCCGGTCAAAGGCCGAGGAGTTCAATATCGACCTCAATCGAATGGCGGTCGGAGGCATGTCAGCAGGTGGACATTTGGCAGCTGTCATGGCTCATCTCTGCCGTGACGCCGGCATTCCCTTGCGACTGCAGGTGCTGAATGTACCGGTGTGCGATCTACACAGTCCGTTCAAGCCGGATGGCACGTTCGATCGAGATGGCTGTCCATACGAGTCGTACAAAGAGATGGAGTTTACGGTGCCTCTGCCAGTAGCGCGTATGTCCTACTTTCACAGACATTTTCTGGGGGTCCCAAGGCCGGCAACATCAGAGGAGGTGAGCTACCGTTAAACGGTGCCGAGCCAGCTATGTGTAATTGCATGATGCTGACATGGCTTTCAGGACTGGAAGATCTCCCCCATTTTAGCTCCCAATTTTGCTGGGCTGGCGCCTGCATTGGTCTTCACTGCTGAAATGGATCCTCTGCGGGATGAAGGTGAAGTTTATGCTGCCAAGCTGAAAGCTGCAGGATGCTCGGTGGAGTTGATGCAGATGAAGGGAGCACCCCATACCTTCGCTCTACTAGATAGGATACTGGAATCGGGGCGGGTGTATAACGAGAAAGTGATTGAAGGACTGAAGGCGGTCGTCGCGATTGACTAGGAGTGCTGCTGCTGCGTCATGCATACTCGGTAGAATGGATGATGGATCCCCCCAACCGTTGGCGGTGTAGGAGAAATGCGGAGAGGATCTGAGGATCATGGTTTATCCGGGTGGTCTTATTTCCATACATTACACCGTACTTCAGCATCACGCACCAAGAACCGGGACCAAAACAAACTGCCGCCTGTAATGACGGTACCGGGCCGGGAGAGCTCGGCAGGCGGTATCGGAAAAGAATGGCCATTCATTAAGACCTCGTTTTACCCTCTTCTTCTTCCTCTTCTTCTTTCTGTGGCCGTCCATCCCCTTGATTTTTGGGTATTCTTGAGCGTGTATACTTAGACTTGAAGTTCCATCCTTATCGCATTCTTATTCAAGTATGATGACCGCCTCACCGCCCCGCACGAGCTGCAATGGCTGGCTGGCTTGCTCCCCTTGCGATTGCAATTGGCTCCTCCGATCAACTCTAACTTGGAATGACCAGCAGATCAAAAGCCGAACTCCGTCATGTTGACCTCCTCCAATACTTCGCGGGCCGCCGTGCGCTCGATGGCCAGCCTGACACGCGCTGTCTCCTCCAGCTCCCCCGCAGCTGCCGCGGCTTTCGCTGCCCGCTCCCCCGCTGCTCTCAGTAGCCGACGCCTCTTGGCCTCCAATAGCCGGGTCATGCAACAGTTCCCCCGCCTTCAGTCCTTGAACTCTACCTCCTCCAAGCGCGCCTTTGCTACCACCGTCAGAATGGTGAGTTTTCCCACCCCAGCTACCGACCGATCACGATAAGTAAAAGCGATGGCGCCTGGCTGCACATCGCTTTACTCATCTCGGACTTCCCAACTTTCACAAGAGTTGGACCCCATGCACGAACGTGCAGTGCTGACCGACCATGGCTCTCCAGTCTTCTGCCACTCGTATCGAAACCGATGCCTTCGGTGAAATCCAGGTATGCGATCCCCCTCATTCGCATGCGATGCGCCTTTGATGATGAGGTCTGATTGTGTTCTGCTCTAGGTCCCCGCGGACAAGTACTGGGGTGCCCAGACCCAGCGGTAAGAGCTCTGCCTATTGCTCTCATCTTCACGAAGACCGGGGAATGGAAACGAGGAATAGTACAAAGACTGACGGCGGAACAGTTCTCTGGGTAACTTCGACATCAACCAGCCCCAGGACCGTATGCCCGAGGCTGTTGTCAAGGCTTTCGGTGTCCTGAAGGGTGCTGCTGCCACCGTCAACATGAAGTTCGGCCTTGGTAAGCTACCGTCCTGTGAAAAATACCTACACGGGCGCATCACTGACATGCGCAACAGACCCCAAGATCGGTGAGGCCATCAAGCAGGCCGCCGCTGAGGTTGCTGAGGGCAAGCTGAACGACCACTTCCCCCTCGTCGTCTGGCAGACTGGTTCCGGTACCCAGTCCAACATGAACTCCAACGAGGTCATCTCGAACCGTGCCATCGAAATCCTGGGTGGTGAGAAGGGCAGCAAGAAGCCCGTCCACCCCAACGACCACGTGAACATGTCTGCCTCCTCCAACGATTCCTTCCCCACCGCCATGCACATCGCTGCCGTCGTGGAGCTTGAGAACACCCTGCTCCCTGCCCTGCAGAGCCTCCGTGATGCTCTCCAGGTCAAGGTCGAGAAGTTCGACAAGATCATCAAGATCGGTCGTACCCACTTGCAGGATGCCACCCCTCTTACTCTCGGCCAGGAGTTTTCTGGCTACGTTGCGCAGCTCGACCGCAACATCGAGCGTGTTCAGGCCTCGATCCCCCACCTCCGCTACCTTGCCCAGGGTGGTACTGCCGTCGGAACCGGTCTGAACACCTTCAAGGGCTTCGATGAGGCCATCGCCGCCGAGGTTACCAAGATGACCGGTACTCAGTTCTACACTGCCCCCAACAAGTTCGAGGTCCTTGCCGCCCACGACTCCGTCGTTGAGGCCTCCGGCTCCTTGAACACCCTGGCTGGCTCTCTCTTCAAGATCGCCCAGGACATCCGTTACCTCGGATCCGGTCCCCGTTGCGGTCTGGGTGAGCTGTCTCTTCCCGAGAACGAGCCTGGCTCTTCCATCATGCCTGGCAAGGTCAACCCCACCCAGTGCGAGTCCCTCACCATGGTCTGCGCTCAGGTCATGGGTAACCACGTCGCTGCCACTATTGGTGGCATGAACGGTCAGTTCGAGCTCAACGTTTTCAAGCCCGTTATGATCCGCAACCTGCTCCACAGCGTGCGCATCCTTGCGGACGGTATGAAGAGCTTCGAGAAGAACCTGGTGCACGGTCTCGAGGCCAACGAGCCCAGAATCAACGCTCTCCTCCACGAGAGGTAAGTTACTAGCGAAAATAGTTGCTGTCTGTTTGATCGATCGTTCGCTAACCTAAACTTCTAGTCTGATGCTTGTTACCTGCCTGAACCCCGTTATCGGTTACGACATGGCCTCCAAGGTCGCCAAGAACGCCCACAAGAAGGGTCTCACCCTCAAGCAGAGTGCCATGGAGCTCAAGGCTCTGAGCGAGGAGGACTTCGACAAGTACGTTCGTCCCGAGCTGATGCTGAGCCCCAAGGAGAAGAAATAGATGCATAGACGGCGCGTTGGATGACAAGAAGGAGGGGATTTGGTCTTTTTGAATAGTTTGGCGGGACGCGATCTAGCGGAGTCCAGACTTTGCTCTTTTTTTTCATATCAAATTTATGTACACCCAGGAAATTTCATTGTATTATTTTTTTTCTTCGACTGTGTGAATCTATGAAGAAAGTTGAGTAGGACTAAGTGGCATGGATCCCGATCTTGCGGTAATTTGGTCGGATCGCGTCCGCCGCCAACTGCTACTATTTTTGGAATGCCCCAGGGATGCCCGGGGCCAGATTGCGAAGACTGCACTGCAGCAACATCCTTTTCTTGCGGAGAGGCACGGAGCGGCAGACAGCTAACGAGTAAAATTGTCATATCGGGGCCGCATGCTGTGTCGGAAAGGGAGTTGAAAGCGAATGGGTCTAGGTGGGAGTAGTCAGGGGCGGACAGAATGACAATAATAATTCAATGAAGATCAATAAATGGGGTGTTTCAGGCAGCCCATGGCTGTGCTTGCAGCCATCTTTAATACGAGTGACTTCCGCCGCGCGACCACAATCTGTGATCTGTCCCCTCTTCACTTTTATTTGTTTGCAGAATCCCATCAACTCTGTACAATTGCACCGTCTGTCCCTCTTTCAGGCCTCTGTGTACATTTCCCACGCGCTGGTCCCCTTTCCCTTGCACATTCCGCCCTCCAGGAGTTTCATTCCCCTTGTTCCTGACCAACGAACCCCGCTACTTCTCAGAAGAGAGGCACATATCCACCCACCACCATTCCCCTGCAGTTTGAGCAACAGAGCCCATCCCCTGGTCAAAACCACACCCAACCGAACCGCGAGCACCATCACAATCTCACAACCCATCAAAATGACGAACCTCACCAACAACAACTCCACCGCTGCTCCCCAGCATCCCCCCGCCGCCGTCAAGCCCACCGCTAATGAAAACGACACCGACCCCCTCCTCTTCCCCACGACCCTCGTCTCCCCCGACGTCGCCGCCGCCCTACCAGAAACCTACACGATCCGGCCCCTGCGCCGCTCCGACTACCAGCGCGGCTACCTGGACGTGCTGCGCGTGCTGACGACCGTCGGCGACATCACCGCGGCGCAGTGGGACGCCCGCTACGACTGGATCTCCGCCCGCAACGACGAGTACTACTTGTTGGTCATCTGCGACGGGGCCGGCCGCGTCGTCGGCACGGGCAGCCTGATTGTCGAGCGCAAGTTCATTCACGCCCTGGGCATGGTCGGCCACATCGAGGACATCGCCGTCGACAAGGACCAGCAGGGCAAGAAGTTGGGGCTGCGGCTCATCCAGGCGCTGGACTTTGTGGCGGAGAAGGTCGGGTGTTATAAGGTTTGTTTTGTCCCCTTTCTACACAGGATGGATATTGGGCGGTGGGGGGGGGTTGGGGCTGAGTGCTTTGGCTAATTTTCGTGTGTGTCCCGCGTAGACGATCCTTGATTGCTCCGAGTCGAATGAGGGGTTTTATCTTAAGTGTGGCTTTAAGCGGGCAGGGTTGGAGATGGCGCATTATTATTAAAGACTTGTTGTGTCCTGATAGTGTGGGTGTGACTTTTTCCTAGTTGAAGGGGGTTCTTTTTTTTGCTATTCTTGAGGCGTTTCGCATAGATATCGGGGGATTCCTGGGGTCTTTGGGGGTGGAGGGTGTGGGATTGGGTTTGGTGCCAATACATAATTCTATCTGGGGTGTTGCATGGGGGCAACTAGAGTACGGGTTTTATTGTGGTGGAAGTCCCGTTATGGATATACGGTACGAGGGACTATGTGATAGATGCAGTGATGTGAGGTGGTTTCTGTTTCGGGGGTCTTATGCTATATAACTTATAACTTTATCATATAATGGCTATAGCCTGAGTTAAGTGAGCATTGATGCGGTGGGTGATTTACGGGATTTCCGGCGGGACAAGTAAGGATAATGCTCGTCGAACTCGGATGTGTAGGACACACTAATGTCAGGGACCATGTTGGGAGTGCCTGAGGCGGGATAGTCATGTGGTTGTTGTTCTATCTCCGAACTATAGGAAAATAGAGGCGTGAGATACTATCATTGTAAAACGTATACTGTAGAATCCGGCTTGGATCCAGATTCTCCGGGGCAATCATGTAGTAGTTGATATCCCAGCACAGGACTATGGAGAACAGACGACCGTCGAAGTACATGGGCAATATGGTTGCAGGAAGGTCAGAACGTAGCGGTGTTAAGTACGACCTAGCTCCGGGTTATCATGGAGTCAGGAAGTGGGAATCTACAAGCTCCAAGATTCAACAAACGAAAAGAAATCGGATCAATGCCATCATATCACATCCATTTTCCATTTTTATGGTTTTATAAAAAGTACCATGGCGCAACATGATAGAGAGAGAACCACCCTATCTGGAAGAGCCAAGGGGGTATATTTTAACCGGGACTCTCTCCCCCCGGACACTTTCGACCGGAGAGAGAATAAACGTTTCTTGTTGCCTTTTTTCGCTCATGGGCCGGAAAGTTCGCATTTTGGTTTCAATAGAAATTTGTTGATTGAAGGAAAACGTAAAATTCCAGCTCCGGAAAAACCTCCCAAGATTTCATGATATCCCTTGTGCTCCCCCAGTTTAACAACCCAAGCCAAACCGCTTCTTCTTTTTCAAATCACGCTAATGTTTAAGATTTAACGGGACTTGGCGGCGACCTTGGGGGCGGAACCCTTGGCACCCTGCTTGCTCTGGATGCGCTGGGTACCCTTGCCGGCGGCGGCGTTCTTGGCCTTCTCGGCCTTCTTGCGGGCCTCGGAGGCAGCCTTCTTCTCCTTGGCGTCCTTAATGGCCTGCTGGCGGGCGGCGGCACGGGCCTCGGGGCGCTGGGAGCGGCGCTCCTTGATCACGTCGAGGGAGGCACCGACGATGGCACGCTGGTGCTTGACGGCACGGCGGGTACGCTTCTTGGCAACTTCCTGTAATCACGGCAAAAGATGTCCCGTCAGCAATTTCGTTCCACCCACGATATATCAAACCATGGTCTCTTGTGTCTCTCAGGTCAGGAGCTCTCCTGCCTGATGGGAACGTTGATGGGGCCCCTTCCTTCTTTGCGTCATTGGTGCCCGTAGTGTCGCGTCAGGCGGAAATGGTGATGGACGAGTCGACTTGAATAGTTGATCCAAATTCCCCATCCAAACTTTGGTCGTTGTTCGAAACTGTTGTTCCCGACATATTCTACCTCCCCTTCCGATCCACACATTCCCACAGACAGGAGAGAGACGACCCAAGAGGACACAGAAACCTTCGTTTCATGCGCGAAATGCAGAAGATATGGCGGTGGTTACTGACTTCAGAGATACCCTTCTTGTGCTGGCGACGGTAGAGGACAGTCCAGGCGATACGGCGAGGGTTCTTGCGCTGGAGGAAGAGGGACTCGGACTTTCCATTCTGGAAGCGGAAGATCTTGCTGTCGCCACGGACGTACAGCTTACCCTGTTACAACCATGAAAAGTCAACAATCTTATCTCGTCTCATCATGTTGGCGACTGTGGATATATTCTTTTGATGATTTCGTCACGGGGTGCCGGAATGTAGCTCTTCTGCATATCGGGGCGAAAAACGCACCTTTCCAGGGTAGATCTTCTGGCCGGAGAAAGAATCGTCGTAGGTACGCATCTTGATCGTCTGAGATGCGCAGCCGGTCTGTTGTCGGTTGGCGTTGGGTGGTTGAGTCGAAGCGGTCTCTGCGGCGAGGCTGTTCGGGCGAGACTGACACAATTGTGGTGGTGCGGTGCGGGAGCCTCGCTAAACCCTACCACGTGACCAACTCCTGCCCTTGGCTGGCTGGCAGCTTGCTGCCCGCCTACCCGCCTTCCCGCCGACCAGGCCCTCTTTGTATAGTTCACTTGGTATTGTATGGGGGACTGGCGCGGGGGAGCAACTTAGTAACGGGTTGATGAATTATGTTCTCTTCTTCGAAGGGCTGCACACCTTGTTTTATTCTTGCTCAGACTCATCATCAATTTCATTATGATTAATTTGGGTTTTGTGTCTGAGATATGTGACAGAGAAATATGAAAACAAATCCCGCCTCTGAAGAGCGTCATCGTACACACCAGGATCGTATCGTTAGGATGATACATGGCTTCCTCAAGTCACATACAGCAAGGGTTCATCTAACAGGACCGAATTTCAAAATGATGCAGGCTCACTTGTCTATCCATTTCCGTCTGTTTCACTCTTATCCGTTCGTAACCGGAACGCCATGACCACGATACATCAAGCAACATGCCCTCAGTATCGGTGTCTTATTCGAGATGGTACCAAAGTCGCTGGCCTTCTGCCAAAGCACAAGACGATCGCGCCTATTCATGATGCATGCCAGTCACAGGGGCCCCAAGGGTTGGGCTTGCAGTCCTAGATACGACAATAGTAATTAGCATGTTTCTCACCTAGTACCGATCCTTCTTCGCCAGCTGACAACTCCCCAGAGGACATGTCCCACCTACCTTGCACTGGATGTCGCGACACATCGGAGTGGAGCAGATACCGCAGCAGTCGGAGCAGACATAACGTCCGCAACCACCGGGCTCGGTGCACACCGTGTAGGTCGAGTGATCCCTAGTCAGGTTCCCGTAACGGTCCAGAAGGGTGGTGACCATGAAGCAGCGACGCGACTTCAACCAATCTCGATGCGCGATGGGCTGGTCCATGTACTGATCGCAACCCCAGCGGACGCAGCAGGGCTTCCCGCAGATAGGGCAGGGCCCGTGGCACTCGATGCACCACAGAATCTTACAGTCCCAGGAGCGGCTGTCATCGGGTCTAGCGGGTTCTCCAGGCGCGGCGCCCTTGAGAAGAGTGCCGGTAAAGCCGCGCACCCAGAGAGTCTATTCCTTGTGTTAGTTGCTGATCGGTTGGGCAATTCGGAGTTGGAGGAGGTAGGTCTCTTACTGGATCCTTGTACGGCTTGCGTGCCACGGGTGGGGTCGCTTCGGGCTCTTTGGCATCACCCTCAGCGCTGTCGCCTTTGTCGTCGCCCTTGTCGTCGGCTTTGCTCCGGTTCTCGCTGTGTATGGAAGCGGCAGCACTGCTTCCAGGAAGACTCACGGAAGAGTGGCCGGCGGACTGAGACTCCTCTAGATCCTTCTCCTTGCGCAAAAGGGGAGTCGATGAATTTGGAGAGAGAGAGACAAAGGTGAAGCTCAAGCGTGACCCTTCAGGCTGGTCAGCGGACGGAGACTTCTCTGAAGACTCCTTGCGCAAAAGGGGGGTCGATGAGTCGGGAGTAAGAGTGCCAGCGGTGAAGCTCAAGCGTGACCCTTCAGAATGCTCGTCGGAAACAATGTTCCAGGAATCAAGACCGAGAGAGGCTGTGGAGGAGCTCAAGCGTGCGCCTTGAGACTCCTCGCCGGGCACAATGATCGAAGCACCGAAACTGAGAATGGCCTCGGAATCGCTCAAGCGTGACTCTTTACACTGCTCGTCTGAAACAATGTTCCAGGAATTATGACCGATAGAGGCAGTGGAGGAGCTCAAACGTGCCCCTTCAGACTTATCGCCGGGCACAGTGATTGAAGCACCGAAACCGAGAGAGGCCTCGGGGGTGCTCAAGCGCGACCCTTTATGCTCGCCGGACGCAATGTTCGAGGCACTAAGATTAGGAGAGGCCTTGGGGGTGCTCAAACACGACTCTTTGGACTGCTCGCCAGACGCGATGTTCGAAGCACCATGTTTGGTAGAGGCCTTGGGGGTGCTCAAGCTCGACCCTTTAGACTGCTCGCCAGACGCAGTGTTCGAGGCACTAGGATTAGGAGAGACCATGAGGGTGCTCAAGCGTGACTCTTTAGACTGCTCGCCAGACTCGCGGTTCGAGGCAGCAAGAATGGAAGAGGACATGGAACTGTCCAAGTGTGACTGGTTGGACTGCTCGCCGCTCTTAATGCTCGAGGCACTAAGACCGAGCGAGGCCATGGAGTTGCCCAAGAGAGACGCTTCATCCCTTACGCTCAGGACGACTGCTTTCTCTTTGAGCGAGACAAGCTGCTCTTCAGTCTCCTCGATAATAGTGCAACGATTCCAGAAGTCCAGGCGCATGTAGACAGGGACATCGTCACCGCCAATATCTGCTCACAAGGTCAGTTCGTCGCACCCAGCTATCACCTGGCATGGTGTTGCGTATTTGTTTGCAAACAACACAAGGAGCACAAGCAACGAGAGGGGACACTTACCACCAGATGTATCACCGAAGCTCGCAGAGCTCTGAGTTCCAATACTAGCGGCCAGGCTGTCGGTGCTCTGGTTGCCCAGGGCGTTGACCAAGATCGCGGACTCCAGAGACATGTTGCTTTCATTCTTGTTAGACATAACCTGCTCCTTCTTGCTGCCATCGCTAGGCTTTCCATGCTTCTTAGACTTAGACTTGTCGTCGCTGGCGATCTTAGAGTCACCGGTTTCTGTTTGGAAAGTCCAAGCATGAGCGACCGCTAGATGAGCTACAACACAGGCAAGAAGACAACAACTTACTCTCCTTCGTCATCGAAACCATAGACCACTCAGAGACAGACTTTTGGTCGCTCTCCTTCTCAGCGACAGGGCCTTCTTTGTTGAGCTCCATTTTGTAGTCAGTAGGTCCAGCCTGGGTGACGGATTGTTTGAAGGAGTGTAGGTTCTCGTAGTACGCCAACGCAGGATGCTCGTACTGGTCCTCGACGAGAGGTGGGCGGTCGAGCTCGTTCTCTTGACCACGTAGTCTGCGCTGATAATCCTTCAGCGTGGGAAACAGGTGATCCAGGTCTTCAATGGTCACCGCACGCGGGGCTGCGGGCGGGACCTGAGTGCTTTGGTTGACTGTTACCACCGACTCACTGAAACGATGCCATTTGATGAAAGGGGTTGCTTACCTAGTCCTCTTTGAGGCGTCCCTGTCTCTTTTACACAGGCTCGGCAGCTTGAAGACCGCGGTTCCTGGGATGAAAGGGTTGAGAACTTGTTTGATGGCTGAAATCATGATAGCTGGGTGATGCGTGTTGGAAGTCACATAGGGGGCGATGATGCAGTTGACAGTAACAAGAGATAGTGACTGATGATATTAATGTTAACTACTAGCACTACAATGTCCCGTGACCTTATACATGGTTGCGCTAGGAACTGAAACAAGAAGATCGATGCTGGAGTGAATTGTTTATAATCTGGCTTTAGGCTGACTGCCTGTAGTGAAGTGTTATCGTTGGTTCGTGTTATGTTCTTTATAGGCGACTATATGCAAGCCAGGCACAGTGTAACATGAACAACCAATATCGGCTTGATAAAGTAGAACTTTGGAGAATGTGTGAGGTTGATTGTTGTTTGCAGATGCAGCTATCCTCCTGCAGCTACATAAGTTGGTACTGTACATATCTTTCCTCTTCACTGCTGCAGTAGACCCACCATCATGAATAAACCACCAACTCTCAGCTCATATAGTCAAGCCCATAGCAGGAGCTTTCTCAGTTTACATCTTAGCTTCCTGGCATACAGGTCGCGAGGTAAAACTTTTCCTCACTTAGTATGAGCTGGCACAAAAGCGACTTTGAAGATCATATGTACATTGCTATCTATCCATGCGAAAGCGCCCCACCAGGGCGACTATGGCTAAGCGGAACTAACTACATTCTCGAAGAGAGCAACAAAAAAAAAGAGAAAACCACAGGACTAGCACCAAGATGTACCAGATATAAGGAACAGCCTTTGCTGCCATCTACACGAGTGAAAGAAAATAGAACCCAAAGGTGCAGAGCTGTCATCCCTCATGTGCAATACCGGCTTGTCCCTCTCTCCCTGCAGAGCCGCAAGTGAGGTAGTTGTAAAGACTGACGCGGGAAGAATACTATAGGGATCTTAAGGAAAAAAAGAACGAGAGGCACTTTTCTTCTCTGTTGTTTCTTCTTTTGAGGTCTCATGGTTCACGTCACAGACGTTTTGTTGCGCCTACCGGGTTCGTCTCAATGGCAGGCAACCTGGGGAAGAGGCTACCACCGAAGCTTATTTTCTTTCTCTCTTCTCCCCCGTTCCCAAGAGTTGAACGGCATGCATCTAAGTCATGGCGTGGGTTCTAGTCCACTCTTTCGCGGTCTGTATGGCAGCCGGCTCATCCTCCTTCCAGCGTTGGGCGACGTCGTTGGCGAGCGGGTCGTCGGGGTTCGGGGCACCCAGCAAGGCCTGGATTGAAAGTAGGATCGTGCGGATTTGTAAAGCGGGGGACCAGTTGTCTAGTTTGGTGGTTAGTTATCATCCCTTTCCCCGTGGCATAAGTTCCGTAAAGGACATACTCTTGAGCACGTCCAAGCAGATCCGTCCCAGCCGGTCGATGTTGGGGTGGTAGATCTTCGTCAAGAAGCGGATCTTCGGGGGAGTCATGGGGTAGTCCTCGGGCAAAAACAGTTCGAGACGGAAGATGCCACCTTCAAAAGCGAGTGGTTAGCGGCCACTCAGGCCATCCCTCGCAAATTTCCAGACGATATACCTTCGTACGGCGACTGTGCAGGTCCGTGGATCGAGACATCGAAGTAGCGCAAGTTGTCTTCATGCGGGACAGCGTTGATGCCGGGAACCCTGCGGATGGAGATACGTTAGCCAGTCTTGTAGGAGACGAGGACTCGAGGCAGACTTGACTTACGGCTCCGCCATCAAGCGCTCAGTTTCCTTGATGATTCTCTTCGGCAACGCCATCTTGGACCTGTAGATTGAAATGAACTTTAGTATACATCCAGACCCTTGGGTTCCTAGCGCCTTCAAGTACTTGAAGGTGGGGCGGGGCTTACGGTTTCTCTGCTTTTGGCCTGTCTGGAGAGTGACAAATGAAGTTCCTACACCAAGGGGAGAAGAGAAAGCAAACCAAAAAGAAAACAGCAGTCGACCAGTGAGCTGCTTATCGAGAAGGAAACAAAAAGAAAAGAAAGACCAACAGCGTCAGTTGTCTATACGTGATCCTCTTCCGGAAACTAATCTGAATCGACGTAACCCGACAAGAGGGGCACTGCATTTCGGGTATTTGTCACCCACCGCAATATGCACGGGTTGCTCGGAACGCCATCCGTGCAGGTGCCTTGACCCGAAATGGAAAGTCCGGATTCCCCCAGACTTGTGGAGCTGCGACTGAGCCTCAGTGTCTCGACTCCTTTGGGGCAGATGCGCTTGCTTGAGGTAGGCTTACTTGTGAGTTAGGCCAGCTTCATTGATGAGATCTTTGGCTAATAGCGCGCTTGTTCAGCTATCTCTAGCTCATTACCTCTCTGAAGACCCCGCATGTCCATTGCATGCAAAGCTTCGAACTTCAACAGCTCCATACTTGCTCAATGCGCGCTACTGCTTCCTCCCAATTGTCCATTATTCGCAATTGACCGGCCCTTTATGTGAGGGAGAGTTCGACATGAGACCAACACGCTTTATCGCACACAATCACATCTTTCATGCTTAGCATTCCTGCTTGAATTCGATACTTTTCCAGGGTGTGGATAGCAGCCGAGACGCAGCGCAACGACGAAGGAGCTTCCGACGGCCCGTCCTGGCCAGAAGACGGAACCATGACGGACACCAGTGAGCCCAGGCCACCGACGTCGGCCTATGAAAGTCCAACATTCGGCGAAGATAGTTCATTTCATGTGGAGCAACCTGTTGGGTCTATGTCCATATCGCCATGTGGACGGGATGTGGTGCTAGCTTCCAAGGAGGGTCTGCACGTTATTGATCTGGACTCGCCTTACTCCCCGCCCCGGTACCTGCCCCATCACACACCGTGGGAGGTCGCGGATGTCCAATGGTCGCCATTCGCCGCCCGAGACTACTGGGTCGTCAGTACATCGAATCAGAAAGCACTGGTCTGGAACTTGGGGATGAAGACTTCGGAGAGTTCAATTGAGCATGTACTGCACGCCCACACGCGGGCGATTACCGACATCAACTTCTCGGCGCATCATCCGGACATGTTGGCCACCTGTGCTGTTGATAGTTTTGTTCACTGCTGGGATCTGCGCATCACCTCCAGGCCCGCCATATCATTCTCCGACTGGTTTGCTGGCGCAACACAGGTCAAGTGGAATCGACAGGACCCTAATGTGATTGCGAGCTCGCATGACAAGTTTCTACGGATCTGGGACAAACGCATGGGCGCGTACCCGATCACATCTATCCAAGCACATGACACGAAGATTTACGGCCTCGATTGGAATAGAGTACGGCCCGGGGCTCTCACGACTTGCTCCCTCGATCGGACGATCAAGTTCTGGGATTACACAGTCAATACCGAGGTTCCCGAGAAGCTCATCCGGGCACCGTTCCCCGTGTGGCGCGCACGAAACACCCCATTCGGTTGGGGTGTCTTAGCCATGCCGCAGAGAGGTAACAGTGATCTTCACTTGTACAGTCGGAGACTCGGAGAGGGTGCCAACCCCGGCGAGGATCTTCCGTTGGTTCACAGCTTCCCGGGGCATAAAGGTCAAGTGAAGGAGTTCCTATGGAGAGCTCGTGGGGGTATAGCTGATGGGATTGATCATAGAGATTTCCAGCTCGTCTCATGGGGCACCGATCGAGAACTCCGATTGCATAGGGTTGACCCAGATATCTTACAACGAGTGGGCTATGAGAAAGGAAAGTCGTTTATCTCTAACTTTAACATTACCCGTAAAGGTGCGGTCTACAAGTCCTTTCGGGATACGAACGCCGACCAAGATGATGAAGACACAGGGTCCCTCTCGCCGAAGACCCAACAAAGCGCGACGCCACAAACCTCCCGCAATAAGGGGCTGAATACTATCTCTATCCCATATGCGCGCGGCTGGACCCAAGGTGGAGGCAACCCGGACTCCAGGATAGGCATGCAGGGGCGGACGAACGTTCGAGCCGATACCAACCCTATCGCGTGGATGCGCGGCGTGAAGATTTCTGGCTGGGACATCGAAACACTGGGTGATGAGATCACTCATGTTGGGGAGAAGTTCACCAAGGTATCTTTTGAGTCCGTTGATGTCAGGCAAAGGAAAGCGATGATTTCCCTCAACGGCCCGTGGGGTGCTGATGGCGACTCTCTTTTCTTGAAAGTTGATATCAAGTTTCCAAGTGATTACCCCCGGGCTTCCATTCCTATATTCAACGTACAGAAGACTGCCGCAGTTACCGATGAGCTTGCCGACAACCTCGTGGCAGAAACCCGGAAGATAGCAGATACCTACTTGGCTCACAAGCGAGGCTGCTTGGAAGGGGTACTTCGTTATTTACTGGGCGAAAGCACACTTGAGGAAAGTATGGCATGGATCTCTGGAGAAACAGCGGAGACTGTCAAGTCCCCAATCAATGGCCAGCTCGAGGGAGAGGAGTCAAGCGACGAGGACGAAGTTGGGCTATCCCAAAGCCAAGACTTAGGCATGAGCTCGGAACTACTTCGTCCAGTCAATGCCAACGTTATGGTGCCTGTGGCTAAGGGATGTGGTGCGTTGTGGGCAAATGACGGCCGTTTGGTATGCTTTTTTCCCTCCAAAAATGATAAATCGGCAGAATGGATGGAAAACCTAGGCCTGAGAGAGATGTCTAGGCTCTCGAGAGCCGATAAAGTTTTTGAAGGGTTTGGCCGATTGCAGACGAGCTCGCCTGGTCCGCGGCCTTCTGCTACGATTGCCAGCACTGATGATGGCGCATCAGAGTATTCCGATGACTCGGACGCGGAGAGTTCAAGCTCTTCCGGGTCCTCAGGTATCTTATCAGGGTTGCAGCACCGATTCCCGACTCCTCAAACATGGAGGAGTGGTGGCAGCCTGGGGATTTATAGGCCACGCTCTACAGATAATTCCCAGAGGTCAACAGCGGGAGCAATGACCACGAAATCGTCTGATCCACCTCAGAACGTGATATCGATCCACGACTTCAGTGATATGCTACCAGCGAAACGCGAATTGGCTGTCGGATATCGTATCTGTGGCAAAGCCACGGATGTGTGTGCCCATAATTCTGCCGTCGCTCTCGATCACGGGTACCACGAGCTAGCTCGAATCTGGGGCCTCCTAAGGCTCATTCTTCATAACCGGAAATCATCGATGCCTGCCTCTAGTCTAGACCAACTAGGAAGGCCTCGGCGCATTCAGCGAAAAGACAGTGCTATTGATCTTACTTATGACGCCAAGAGCCATAATAGGAGCTCGAAGGGGTCCCAAGCCTCGTCAATAAGATGGGGGGATCACCCTTTTGGTAGTCACTGGCTCATCCCATCTCTATTTGATCACTTCGAACGAATTGGCGATGTCCAGATGATCGCGATGCTGTCATGTGTCCTGCACGAACCAAACACTGAAGAGATATCGGCGAAGGAGAAGGTTCATCACAGTAGGAGTGTCTCTAAGCGCATGGAAGAACATTCATTCTCGTTCGACTTTTACCCTCCGCATACAGTGATACAAAACAAATCACATACTGCGACTCCCCTTGCCACCACACCAAAAGACAGCCATACAACTCCCATCACACACAGTTCCGGACGCTCATCCTCCGAGATCTGGCGTGTTGACTCCACTCCTCCCTTTTCTACGGGAACAACTCCCCCGCTGAACTCTCGAGTTGCGGCCCTACCGGCAGACCGGAAAACCTGGAGCCAAAATGTATCCATAGCAGCCTCGCCCGATCAGCAGTCTCAGCCTCGAAGTGCATCGGGGCTTGGTTCTGTTCTTGCCTCTTCCCTTTCCCGGTCTTTCACCTTTGGGCCCTCTTCGGCGTCCCCTCCTGCGACTGCATTGTCGAAGAAGAAGCAAAGTCCAAGTGGCAGCCTACATACGACCGGTGGATCCGGTATGTGGGTTACCAGTGCTCTTGCGGCCAAGCCTGCTTCGGCGGTTCCGGACTATCTGACTACCTCTACCGCGCTTACTTCACAAACCCATTCCGACACGGAAAGTGAGCGACCGTCGCCTGCGAAACCCCGGGCGAAACTGCAAACAACATTCAAGAATCAAAATGCCTTTGACAGCGGTAGCTCACAGAACACGTTTCTTGACCCAAAGAAAGAAGGTCTATACCATTCATATCGAGCAGCATACGCCCACCTCCTTTCAATCTGGGCATTGCCCGTACAACGCAGTGAGGTTCTCAAAATTGGCGGCATGGCTAGTCCTCTCAAGGATCTGCATGTTCCTCGCCAAAATGCCAATGGTCACCATGATTCATTCTCTTTCCCAATCTCAAAACATCGGGGCGCGACCACGGTGCCTATTGATGAGGAGAATCGAGGCCTGGACATTCAACGCCACTGCAATAAGTGTGGACAGGCGCTTCAACATTCGATCTTCGCCACAAAGGCTGCCGTTGAAGCGTTGACTTCCAAGAGTCACATGAAGGGGACTGCGACATCCACCGTCACGTGCCCCAACTGCAAACCAAAACAGTCACTTGCTCTGAAGTTGCCGTGTGTTATATGCGGCGAGGTGGTGGACGGAATGCTTATTCCTTGTCTCGGCTGCGGTCATGTCAGCTGCTTTGATTGCCATCGAGGCTGGTTCTCCATGGCTTCCGCAGACACTCATCCTGATGATCACGCCGAGGAAGACGAATACCGATACTGTCCGAGCGGCTGCGGGTGTAAATGCTCTGATTTCATTGACAAAGATCCCGCCTCACCCTGGGACGTAACCACAGACCCAACGAGTCCACAAGAGCGGGAGAGCACCCACCATCGGCATCGAAGTAAAAAGTCTGATGGGGCAGTCTCCACGAAAAATTCCGGTGAACAGGCCACGGCACCTAATAGTGCTCAACATGGAGAAGACGCCGATCGATCGCAGAGCGTCTCGCCTTTTGCATCCCTTGCGAAAGGCCTGGGTGGAGGATTGAGCAGAGGGCTGCGACTACGGGACGACAAAAGAAGATCGAAGCTGTCGTCGACTTCGTTTGTCCCCAAGAAGTCTTCGATGAATCAGGTTGTTGAGAATAGATGATGGTCATTTGTCTCTGTGTTTCTAGCTAGCGACGTTATGTATACCCCTTCGGTTTTTCTTTGTTTTGGTAGCTCTAGGGTTAGGTGCTGGGATTAATCCTACTTTTGAGATATGGTCCGTTTACGATAAACGATCACGTAGGATAGAGCGAAAATCTGGTTTGAAAATGAGCTTCTGCTTGCTTTATAATCAGTCTGTTGTATGTGTTACCATGCAAAGGTCATAGAGACACGAATGATAAGATCTCGACATGGAGAGTATCAATGTGCTGCCTGAAAGATCTGGCCACGAACCAACCGCTTATCGGCCAATGTCGATAACACTCCGCCGTCATTTCTCGATCATTGACCCACGCCATCCACTCACTTTGTGACCTACCTCATCTTCACCACCGTCCGACATGAGGAGTGGGGTATCTCAGAACTAGACGCTATCTTAATCTTACTCTTACGTACCCATTGCTGAACCACTATGAGCAACACCGGCCTTGTCGCATGGGGCGTTCCCCGGCTGGCGGAGCTTCTTCCGTTGGACCAGGAATCGCTCACCCAGATCATCGACTACGCCGCCAGCCTCTCCAAGGAAGAAGGAGCCAACCACCTCAAGAATCTCCTGGGCGACTCGCCGGCCGCGTTCGAATTCATCGCTGCCTTCAGCTCCCGCCGTTCGGCCCCCCCGCCGCAGCGCTCCGTCGCGTCCTCACCAGCATCGACACCCGCCCCCGTCCCCTCAAGCACATCCTCCGCACCTCCCAGAAACACCAGCAGCAGTTCAGGCCGAAAAGGTAAGAAGTCAAAGCCACCGCTCCACAGCGCTGGCCCTGTGCGCCGGCCCGAGAACTTCGGCGACGTGACCGGCGGATACAGAAAGGAGGATCAAAATGAGGATTACATGCCTGTCTCGATGTCAGGCCGGGGTCGACCGGATGCGAAGCCATCTCTGGGTCTACGAAATCTACCGGTCACATCTTCTCAAGGATCATCCGCTACCTCATCGCGCAACCAGTCGCCCGCCCCTCATCGGCCTACATCCATCACCACCACCACCACCAGCAACAACAACAAAGCCTTACCCTCAGCCGCGGGACCCGTCATCTCGGATCTCTTACCTAACGTGAAGTCGAAAGCAGCCAAGTCGACGGCGCGTGGCGCCGCAAATGCAGGCGGAGGAGGCACGTCCTCCTCGTCATCGATCAAAGGCGGCGGCGCCCTGACGACAACGAACATCACCGACCTGACAGCCGCGATCGCCGCGCTGGAGGTATCCACGAACCCAACGCTGGGCCCGGGGGCCCGGAAATGCACGTGTTACGCCAGCATCCACCCGCTCTTCGACCCGGCGCCGAATTGTCTGAACTGCGGGAAGATCATCTGCGCGCTGGAGGGGCTGCAGCCGTGCTCGTTCTGCGGGACGCCGCTGCTGTCGAGCGACGAGGTGCAGAGCATGATCCGGGAGCTGCGCGCGGAACGGGGCCAGGAGAAGATGCGGGCCCACAATGAGAGCGTCCAGCACCGGGATGGGGGACCGGGGCTGGGACCGGGAAGCAACAGTACCAGCAATAATAAGCTGGACGCGGCCCGCGCGCATCGCGATAAGTTGCTACAGTTCCAGGCGCAGAACGCCAAGCGCACGCGGGTGGTGGACGAGGCGGCGGACTTTGAGACCCCCAATGTCGCGTCGACGCTGTGGATGACCCCCGCACAGCGGGCGCTGGCCCTGAAAAAGCAGCAGCGGATCATGCGGGAGATGGAGGAGAAGGCCCGGCCGGAGTGGGAGAAGAAGAAGACCATCATGAGTTTGGATATCAAGGGTGGTCGAGTGACGCGGGTGTACCAGTCCGCCGCGGAAGCGACCGGATCGTCGAAGGTCGCGGAGGAGGGGGAGGACGATGATGACAATGAGGCCAAGGCTGCGCGGCGAGATGAGGCCGATCGTGGAAACAGCGGTGGCCATGCGTTTAGCAACAATCCGCTTCTGGCGGCTGGCGGGCTGCTGCGGCCGGTGTGGAAAACGGCCGACGGTAAGCAGCCCGAGACGGCGCGCAAGGAGCGCCAGCCAACCTGGCGGCGGGTGCAGGATGATAACGATGATAACGAGCAGTGGATTCTGGATGGCGGGGCGCATGGGTATACATGATCCTATGGAGGCGCAAAGATTCTGGCGTCACCGTGCAGTTCCTTCCTCTCTCTCTGCATCCAGGAGTGAGTATGTTGGCTTGTACATACTCAACGCTCCCCTTGCATAGTATCTCAGTGTGTTCTCGCTGGTTGTCTCAACCACAGCAAAAATCACACTACGTATCTCTCAAGCTAGCGAGCCATTGTATCCTTCGGTGGGGCACAATGAAAGCCAGAGCCCGTATTAATTTCGACTTTCAGTAGACTTTCAGTAGACTCTCGTACTGGGTAATTGCTACGTTAGAATGTAGCTAGAGCTCGTGTTCGGAAGGGCGATACCTGCTAGGTAGTAATCCTATCAATAATAATAGTATCCTATAGCCTGTCAGACGTTACACATCAGACATATGCCGCATTCAATATTAGTTCTATACACTATACACCCCACGGAGAATGAAAAGCATAGCCAACAAACAACTAGCTAACCACCAACAAACTCAACTCAAGTTCCCCCGCACTAAAGTACCAGACCTGCTCCGCTGGATCATGACGCCAATAAATCAGCCGTAAGGTGAGGAGGGACCATGGACCATGGAACGCAACAACCAGCCAGTTAGTCAGTCACTCGCCCAAGCTGCTAGCTGCTGCGCTGCGTAAGAGCCCGCAAGTAACCGAGAAATCAAAGGTAGGCAGGGCATTATTAATTCAAAGACCGGCCGCTCGGTTGGTATATATGCACCATGAGTTTTAGCCATCTGCATCTTTCAATATAACCTATCAGTTGCCCCCACTTTTGCCCAGTGTCTTACAATTCACTTCTTTACTCGAGACATCACGAACCGAGAGCGAGAAGTGACGTTTGCGGGGAAGTTGGCAGTGCCGCCGTATACAAGCTCGGTTCGAAGCGGGTAGATTCGGCCAACCACCACTTACCATTTGCGGAGGGTCATCGTATTCACCTGTAGGTATCAGCAGCTGCAACTGAACACGAGTAAGTGGATTGATTAAGTACTGGCTGGTGTGGTACTTATACGACTGCTACCTACCTTATTAACACTTGTTCCCCCCTTCGTTCTTCAGGTCGAGGGACCAACACTTCGAGTTACATCTATAAAGCCAGTCCCCAGGCAACTAGGGCAACAGAAGGATGTTGAGCCAGCTGAGCTGGGATGCTATATCATTATCCCCGGGCGGAATCGCCTGGGGTGTGCTTGGGTTACTCTCCGCGGTGGTACGTGCACATCGATTTACCCTCGGATTCGCCCTATCGTTGCTCTTTCGAAGAATACTAATGGGATATGTATGCAAACAGACCCTCGTCTACACCCTCTACAACCGCTACCTCCACCCACTCCACCACCTCCCGGGCCCCCTGCTCGCCTCGCTCACCCCCTGGGTCCAGCTCTATCACGGCCTCCGCGGCGACCGCCACCTCTGGCTGCACGCGCTCCACGCCCAGTACGGCAGCCACGTGCGGGTGGCGCCCAATTTCGTGTCCGTCAACACCGCACAAGGGCTGCACGACATCTACGGCCACGGGAAGCGTCTCAAGAAGGCCGACTTCTACAATGCGTTCCCGGCCATCAAGGGCGTCTACAACACACACAACGTCATCGATAAGACGGCGCACGGCCGCAAGCGCCGCGTCCTGAGCCAGGCGTTTGCCGACCATGCGTTGAAGAGTATGGAGGATGTTATGCTCTTGCATGTGCGGCAGCTTTGTAGTGGGTTGATGGGGAGACAGCAACAGCAGCAGTATCCACCGGGAGGTGGAGGTGAGGAGAAACAGGGGCAGGCAGTGGTGCAGGATCTGGGCCGGTGGTTTAGTTATCTCACGTATGATGTGATGGGGGAGTTGTGTTTTGGGAAGAGCTTTGATATGTTGATTGAGAGTAGTCGGCGGAGGTTGGTCGAGTTGGTGGATCGCGCGGCGAATCGGCATTATGTTGTGAGTGTTTTTCCGTCTGTGGTTTCTGGTGGTTTTGGCTGACATTGCTGGGGAACACTTCCAGTGTGGTCTGTGGATGCCGCTTGATCGATGGCACCTGGACCAGATCTTCATCCATCGGTTGACCAACGACCGCTGGAACTTCATCATGAACTCCCGGGTCGAGGCCACGAAGCGCGCCCAGGAACGCACCCAGGCGGGCCACGACGCCAAACGCGATTTCTTCTACTACCTGCTGAACGCCCGGGACCCGGAGTCCGGACAGGGGCTGACCACCCCGGAGCTCTGGGGCGAGGCCAACGTCCTGATGATCGCGGGCAGCGACACGACGTCGACCACCCTCTCGGCCACGGTGTTCTACCTGGTGCGCAACCCGCTTGCGATGGAGCGGCTGAAGAACGAGGTCCGCGGGGCGTTTACTTGTGTCGAGGACATTGTCTCGGGCAGCCAACTCAACGAGCTGGTGTACTTGAAGGCTTGTCTGGACGAGGCACTGCGGCTGGCTCCCGCCGTGCCCGGGGCGCCTCCCCGCGAGGTGATGGAGGGCGGCGCCATGGTGGACGGGGTGTTCCTGCCTGAGGGGACGGATTGCGGGACGCCGACCTTCTCCATCCACCGCCAGGCTGCGTACTACCGGCAACCGGGTGCGTACCTGCCGGAGCGCTGGATCGAAGGCGCGACGTGTAAGACGGAGTTCGAGTCCTGGGAGACCAGTAAGGAGGATGTCGAGGTCGCGCGACGTGCGTTCTGCCCGTTCAGCATCGGTCCGCGCGGCTGCATCGGCAAGAGCATGGCGTTCATGGAGATGCGACTGACGATTGCACGGTTGATCTTCCTCTTTGATCTGGCGTTGGCCGACCACCGCGGGGAGGACGCCGAGGGCCACTTGGCGCTGGTGGATCACTTCACCAGTTCCAAAGAAGGGCCCAATGTGACTGTACGAGTGCGTACGTAGCTAAGTCGATGTAGATTGAGAACACCTAAAGCACAGTACATAACCTCGTCAAAATCAGATCCAGCCTTATAGTGCACACAGTAGAAGCTGGTTGCAGGGCCGATAACAAAGTAAATCGACGCTATCGGAAGGACACGTGCCGGACACGTGCCGCCATCCCCAGGCAGCGAGACAGACTGCCCTTCTCTTCCCCTACATTCCTCTCCAACTCCCCTTCTTACATATCAAGAAATCAGTCACTCGTTTATTTCCTTCGATTTCTCGATCTTGAGACTCTCGTTAATCTTTTTTTTTGCCTCTTGTTTTGCTTTTATCTTCCATCTTTTATCGTCACAACATCGACATGCCCCCTTCGGCGCTGACCACGACCTTCATACAATCGACCTTCCTTAATGCCATTGCCAATCTCCTCGCTCAGGTCATAGATCAGTACCATCGCGGTGTACGTAGCTTGATTTCCTTTTTCCGTTGTCAGAATCCCACCCAATGTCCCGTGCATGTATAGAAAAACACAAACACGCTATATACTTACAAGAATACACGGTGTCCTCCTCAACATTAACCTATGTCATGCATGACTAACATGATTCGGGGGGAAATGGGAAATTGGGGAATTGGGGAATTGGGGGAATAGTTGGGGGGTTAGTGGTGGTAAGTGGGTGAAGAGAGAGAGGGTCCTACAACTCAACTCAGGATCTGTTTCTTTGGGGTTCTGAGTTTCCCCGCCTTTGCCTTTGCCGTGCCTTGCCCTGCCGTGTCTGTCGAAACGGTGAACCCTTGGGCCTTGTCTCCAAATGATTTTCCGGATCATCCCGAGTCCGAGTCCGAGTCCGAGTCCGAGTCCACTGCGGGAGGCACCAACCCTATGATCCATGATGTATACATCGATTTCCTAAACGGGTAATCTGTATACATCTGGCAATCCCTTCGTGTCATGTCCCCAGGACATCATACACTTACCTTGTTCATGCTGAGAGACAGACCTACCAACACCAAGTTCTAGCTTCTCCCCCTGCCCTGCCTAAAGTCTCCTCCCGAACTGCAAGCCCATCCCCCAAACCCCCAAACCCAGAACAAACCACCACAACACAAACCCCTGACCCTCACAAGGTATCACCCCAGAGCCCCAGCACCCCAAAAGCAAACCAGAACAACCAAAAACCGGACCCTCCCTAACCTCATCCACCCCTCCACCCCTCCACCCCCAACCTACCCCCCATTACCCCCTCCCCCTCCCCTCCCTACCCCCCCCTAATTTTCCTTCCTAGAAACCATTCCACCTAAACCCCACCGCCCTCCTCCAATTCCTCATCTACGGCCTCCTCAGCGTCCTCCCCAACTTCCTCTGGCAACGGGCCCTCGAATCCCGCTTCCCGGGCTTCCCCTCCTGGCGGCGGGGGTGGTCGGCGCTCACGACGACAACCCCCAGCGGCACGAGTCCAGCAGCAGCAGCAGCACCACCCAAAGGGGAAGTATGCATCTCCATCCCCATTCCGCTCGAGGATGCTGCGGCGAAAAAGAAAGACTCCAAGGAGAAGGGGGAGTTGGGGAGATTCTACCCCCGCGCCAACAGCAGCAGCAGGAGCAACAACAACAACAACGGAGTCCGGAACTTCCTCGCCAAATTCCTGCTAGATCAGACGGTGGGGTCGGTGATGAATATCGTGCTGTTTGTGGTGTTGATTAATTTGTTGAAGGGAGTGAGTTGGGCGGGGTGTTGGGGGTTGGTGCGTGAGGTATGTGCTCTCTTTACCTTGACCGTGGTTGAAGTTGGGGGGGGGGGGCGAAGGCGGGGGGTATCGCTATGATCCCTTGATGGCTGGGGATAGGGTGGTGGGCTTTGGGTTAGGTGACTTGACGATGACGATGCTGACTTTTGGGCTGCGGCAGGATTTCCGACCGATCATGATGGCGCGGCTCAAGTATCGGCCGCTCGTCTCGGTGCTCATGTACACGGTGGTGCCGGTGGACCGGCGCGTGGTCTTTGGGAGTGCCTGTGGGGTGATCTGGGGGGTGTATTTGAGTTTGTATGCGGTGGTTTAGCCCGTGCCAAAATCTGGGGTCTTGGATATGGGCTGCATAATACTTCGTTCTGTTCCACACTGGGTGCTTGGGGCTTGGGGCTATTCTGTCAAAGAACGATAGGGGCTCAATCGTCAACCATAGACTAATAATGCTTCGCGTTCATATCATATTAGCATATTACAGTACATCACCCCGCCACTGTATAAATACCCCGACCTGCCAACCGAAAAGGATAAATCTACATTACGTCCATGATGTAGCAATCTGAAACCCAGCCCCAGACTTTATAGAAAGTGTAAAAAGAAAAGAAGATTGCACTTTTGCGAAGCAGAAGAAGGAATCAGTGCAGTCACTCCCAGCCTACATCAAGCGGCCGTCCGCTCAAGCCTTCGTCCCTTGACGGACAACCATTCAATAGGCAACGCGCCCACCAGCGCCAGCGCTCCCATCGCCACGGCCACATAAAACGTCTGCATGATGGCCGAGTTGTACGCCTCCAACGCCTGGGGCAGCGTACTCTCCGGCACGACGTGGCGTAGCATGGTCGCCCCGGCTCCCATCACCTGGCGCACGTCCAGCCCCGCGATATGCCCCAGGTTCTCGCGCAGCTTGTTCTGGAACACGTTCTGGGCGACCGACACGAAGATCGCGCCGCCGAGTGTCTGCGTGAACACGACGATGGCCGTGGCGCTGGGCACGTCGGCCGGGCCGAGCGCGGCCTGACACACCAGCATCGGTTGCTGCAGGCCGATGCCCGCCCCAATCCCGATGATGATCTGGTAGCCGATCCAGTGGGCCGCCTTCGAGTCGGGCTCCAGCGTGCTGAGGAGGCCCCCGCCGACGGCCACGAACACCGGCGATGCCAGCAGGAATGGCGTGTAGTACCCAAAGACCGAGATCAGGACTCCGGCGATCATGGCCAACACGACGACACCCAGCAACATGGGCAGGTTCATGATGCCTGACTTGGTCGCTGATACGCCCTTGATTGCCTGGAACCAGATCGGCAGCTATTTACTTGTATATTAGCTCCTCTCTCGTTCCTTCTTGACACAGACACAAAAGCAAAGAAAGGGACACTCACATAGTAGACGAAGGTGAAAAACGAGCCGCCCATACAGAAGGTGAAAAATGCCCCGCCCCAGACGTTCCGATTCTTGATCAGTCTCGGTGGGATAGTGGCCTTGTCCTTGCCCCAGATCTGCGTCCCGATGAAGCACAGAATGAGTAACCCAGACAGAAGGAACAACGCGATGATGCGGCCATTGTTCCAGGCGTAGGTTGTACCGCCCCACTGCAACGCCAGGAGCATGCATATGACACCCGGGAGAAAGAAGGCCGTGCCTGGGAGATCCAGCTGAGACACTTGATCCCTGAATCCGTACGTGCTCTTGACCGACCTAGGTGCCTTGAAGAACATAAGGATAAACAGGATGGTCAGCCCACCGATGGGCAGATTGATGTAGAAGCACCACCGCCAGCTGAGGTGATCGGTGAAGGCGCACCCCATGAGCGGCCCGGCCACACTGGCCACGCCATACATCCCGGCCAGCGTGCCAGCGTAGACCGGTCTGCGTTCCAGCGGTGCTGTTTGGGCAACAATCAGCATGGCCCCGGAGAAGAGACCGGCTGATCCGACCCCAGCAACGGCCCGGCCGATGATCAAAGCCACTGAATTCGGGGCTAACGCGCAGATCAACGACCCGACCTCGAAGATGGCCAGTGCAATCAGATACACCCATTTCGTCGAGTAGAATGTGTACAGCTTGCCGAAGATCAAGGTGAGCGCACATGTCGTGAGGAGGTAGGCACTGCCGTACCAACCCACGTCGTCCAGGGAGTGGAACTGATCGGTGATCTTGGGGATGGCCGTGGCCAGGATCGTATTGTTCTTGACACGAGAAGAGAGTCAGGGGAGCTCCACACGTTAGTTTCAATTTGATGAGATCACTTACCAAAGCAATACAGAATAGAGAGATGGAAAGTCCGATGAGAATCAGGGCAAGCTTCCAGGAAGTGGGATATTCTGGCTCTGAACCAGCAGCGTCATCACCATGACGCGAGCTTGTTGACTTGGCCTCATTCAGCGGCACATGGATCTGAGAATGGAAGGACGCTCCACGGGACGAGTGTGCAGGAGTACTGTCACGATCAGTGGACTGCATCCTGCTGGAAGCAGCCTTTCTCATCTCCCTTCTGTTACGCGGAGGAGTCAATTCGATCGACGACGCTTGACGAGACATGGTCCCTGGATGCAGGTAAACACGCCCTCTCTGTGGTATCAGTCGAATAGAGTCACGATATCACCAGCAAGATGTAGACGATTCTTGGACTAGCATGGACCGATAGATTGAATCAACGGTAAGGTGAATGGGTGAAGGTGCCGTGACAACATTAGAGTGTACCAACAACGGCAATGTCAATCAAATGGAAAGAAAGGAAATGGCAAGACGAGATCACTGAACCAACACTGGCCAGCAGGCACTGCAGAACAAAGTCCCTCCCCAATTGGGAACCGGCTGTACCACCGGACCTTTTCCCTTTTTCCCTTTCCTTTCCACCCTGACGGCGTTTGTCGTCATCAGAAGGAATCCATCCATCCACTGCAGACACGACAGTCGGGGAGCATGACTGTAACCCCATGCTGACTGTGGTGTCCATCCCTGCTGCATGCTCGTGTCCATTCCCAGAGGTCTTCTTTTGTATGGCCCCGGACTAGCTCACCACCCTCTCTCTGGCCTGGCCTGGACTGGAAGAGGTAAGGAAATCGGGGCTGAACGCATGCAGTGACAGGTGGGATTGGGATGGTCACACAGGCTATGATGAGTGAGCCATCAACAGCTGCATGGCACGGCCGTCCGTGGAGTCTTTGCCTGCTGTCGTTCGGACATTCGGGCGGATATCTACTTCCGCGGTCCGGGGATAGAAGAGCTTTCCATCACACACAGGCCTGTAGTTGAGTGAATACATCCTCATCAGCCGGTCATGAGAGGGAAATGGGGCCGTGGAAGAGGCTCTTAGCTCTTGCTCAGCCGAGAGGATCATTGCCACATTACTCCCCATGCGGGCTTGATCACAATGTTTCCATCTGGGCGAAGGGATATCCCTACCCCCGAACTATTGCGGCCTGATCAACTGAGCATGACCAAAAGGGCCCGTTATTATGCTAGCAAGAAAGGTAGAGCTTATTTGTTATTCCGAACCGGTAAACCTAGGATATATTCACAAGATGTGCCAATCAAACAGTTGTGCAACGCCGTAAAGCATGATAGTGTATCCAGCACCTCCCTACTTCCCAGCCGCTCTGCCAACACCTGATCCATGCGGAATTTCAGCCAGTTCCCTTGCGGGTCCGAGTCCAGACTCGGCGTCAATGCCTGATATCCTAGCAAAAGGCCGCTCAATCCAACGAAAGTTGAAGCAACATTTGAAAAATCACCGAAAAAAATCAGATGCCCCCAGTCCCTCAATGGCCACGCAGGCCGCTGGTGTTGGGCTTCTTGGCATCCTCTTTGCTGGCGACTAGAGCGATCAGAGCAGCACCCACACCACTGCCATCCTTAGAGATACCAATGCGGATCTTCTTGTTACCGGCCTCGCCAACCTCGGGGACCTCGCGGAGCGCATCCCGCATGTGACCTTCAAAGTTGGGGTAGAACTCCACCAGACTGCCATCCACACCAATATCCACGAGATCCTCCGACTGCAGCTTGCCAGTGGAGTGGAGAACAGCCGCCAGAGGCACGGCAGCCAGACGAGCGGCACGCTTACCAATAGCATGTACCACGGTCTGGATGGCTTTGCAATCGTCGTTGCTGGGGTTCTCGATCTTCAGGTGATCCTTCAGGGCCGTCTTGATCTGATCCAGGTTCTCGGTCTTGTCGGCCTCAACCAAGCTCAACAAGCTAGTGTCAATGCCCCACTGGCGGAAGAGAGACGACTCCTTAGGGACCGAGACAGTCGACGATGCGCTAGACTTGAGGAAACCCAAAGACTCGTTGCCGTGCATGTCCAGCATGACACGGCGCAGGATCTCACCCAGGAACATACCGGAGACGCGCTTCTCGAACATCTGAATGCCGGGGTTGTTGCTGTCCGCGTCCAGTTGCTGGTCATAAACGGTGTTGGGAAGGACGCTCAGGTGGTTGTCGAAGCTGCCCCATTCGGCGTTGATGATCATCTCCCCGGTAGACTTGTCGTACGAGGAGTGTTCAATGGTCTGCATCTTGGTGATGCGGTCGAGCTTCTCGACATAGGCGCCGTTGGTGCCCGTGCCGAAGATTGCGCCGAGGAAAGTACCCGTGGCACCAGGGGAGGTGTAGGAGCGAGCCATCAAGGTTCCCACGGTGTCATTGACGAGGGCGGCCACACGCACGGGGAGATCCAGCTCATCAATGGCGCACTGCAGCAACGCGCAGACATCCTGGCCCACGGCATCGGGGATGTCAAAGCCCTTGGTCCAGCGGATCAAGGTACCCTTGTTGATGCCCAGCTGGCGGACGGGGAAACTGAAGGTGAAACCCAGGTCGAAGAGTTCCTCCTCGCAGTTGTCCCTCTTCTGGTTGCGGCGTCGAATGTGTGCCTCAAAGTGCTCGTTGTGGTGAATGCGCAGGAACGACTCGATCTGACGTGCCAAGAACAGGAACAAATCCTTGGCGGTGCCGGAGGACATAGTCTCCCGAGGGATCATGATCTTCGACTGGGTCAGGGAGAAAGTGGTGTCTCCATGGAGGTCAATAGAGCACACGCGGAAGTTGGTTCCGCCAAGGTCTACAGCCAAATACAATCCCTGTCGTATGTCTGGTCAGCTGGCGGGGTCCGGATCGATCCGGAGGGAAGAGGCCCGGCGCCTGATTCTCTTACCTTTTCTGTGCCATTGGGTACAGAGGTGACGAAGGTTGGGATCTGGCTCAGGGTGGTGTGCTCCTGCGACAAGCCCTCGTCCATTTCGCGCACGTACTCTGTTACACCGCGACGCACTTCGTCGGCGGGGTAGTCAAACTGGCGGGCAATCCGCACAGCCTCTTGGAGAACTGGGGAAGACATGATGACGATATTGATGTGATGAAGGAGGGGAAGAGAAGAGTAGGGTGAGAATGTCGCAAGGATGACGAGGAGAAAGAAAATGGAGAGAATTCCCGGAAAGAGAGAAACTGGAGGGAGAGGCGGGGGAAGGGGAGGGGAAAGTAGTAGGCCGGAAGAGGGAATAGACTTGCGGAGAGAGAGGGGAGGAGTGAGATCGAAGTATGGAGAGGAGGAGTGGATGAGTGAATAGACAGATGAAGAAAGGATTTCTGGAGAGGGAGAGAGAGGAGAAATGGAGCAGGTGGAGAGGGTAACAGCAGGATAATAAACGAAAGGACAGAAGGACGGAGGAAAGAGAATAATACGGGAATAATGATGAGACTATCCCATTTTCATGGCGGGGTCGATGAGGTCAGTCCGTCGCGGGGCGCCCAAGGGAAAAAAAAACCAACGACAGGGCCGGGTTCGCCGGTCATCGCCTTCGCCTGTCCAGTTCCCGAGTCCCCTTCCCGATTCCTACGGTAACTATCCAGTAACTATCCAATTCTGATTCAGTATTCATTATCCAACAGTCCCGGTAGCGAGTGCACTGTCAAGATTCCATGACGTACAGAAACCACGAGTGCTGGTGGAGGATTGGGTCGACCTTCACCGGTGAGGGCAAAAGAGGTTTAGTAGGGAAGGAAATGGAAGGGGCCCGATGGAGAACCTGAAGCCTTTCTGCCAAGTGAGTCTCACGATCGTGCGGTATTACTCAAGTATCCGGTCGGATTCTGGGTAATTTTCCCCTGATGATGAGACATGTGGCCTCCCACATCTCCAGATATGCCTCTGATCTGGGGCATATGGAGAGAGAACTAAACTGTATACAGATCAAGTAACACGCGACGAAGGATTGGTCCCCTTTCCCCTGCAGAGTACAGAAGCTGTCAAAGACAAGAACACCATCGATCATGTCAGCTGCATCTCGATGATCATCGGGCCCTGCCTACTGTAGACAGAGACGTAACCTTAAAAGAACAATGTTCCGGGGGCAGGAGAGATTGATGGTTGGTAGCATCACCATGCGGGAGGGATGGGATACGAACAGGATCAGGCGACTTCGAGTCCGTACCGGATGCGGTATCAAGCACCAGGCCACGAGATCAGGCACTAACCAGGCACCAAGAGCCAAGGCATCGAGGCAGAAATATCCGATCTGACACCTCAGGCATTCAGACATCGAGGCACCCAGACATTCAGGCAAAGATGAGGAAATCAAGGCACTAAGGCAGGAGCTATCCGTCGTCACTGACTAAGGGCACGTGACTATGACCGGCGGAAGTCGGCTGGGAACGCAGAAGCATCAAGATGCAATCCCCTCCGCCGACAGTGGAATTGTCCCCGATCCGTGCATTCAGCGGCCACTCATTACCCAGCCTTCCTCCTGAACGTACCATCGGTCTTCGTGTGGCTGACGGACTCAACTTATTTCCTTTTTAACGAACCCTCACTAACACACCCCTCAATTCATCACATCATGGGCGCCGGCAGCTCCAAGCCCGAGGCCTCGGCCGGCTCGACACACGTTTTCACGAGGTATGTACACATCACAGCTGAGGCAGCTCGCCTGCATCATGCTTGTGTGTCTCTCCAATCTGCACCCATGCGCAAAGAAAACGAGATTGGCGCAATTGCGCGGCTCAATGGGTTGGAGAAACAAAGGTGACGATTTCGTCACGACCCTTCCAACCCGGGAAATCACATACCTCAACACCTACCATTCAAGAGTTCCAATGGCGCCTGAATCAGTCCGAACCAAAGCAAACTTGAAAGCTAACAACAACTCCCAATTCAGCAACTCCCCCGTCCAATTCTCCTCCAACCTAGTTGAGTCCCTCCAGAACAACACCGAGGTACGTTATATTGAACAATCCAATCCACCCCCCCATCCCCAAATCTCCTCCACAACCTCATCCACCCAACCATACTAACTCTTCTAAAAAAAAACAAAAGACCGACTCCTCCCGCGCCAAAGCCCTCGAACTCCAGATCCAAGAGCGCGTCTCGGAAGAACTCGAACGCCTCCGCGCCCGGGAACAGCAGACCCTCGCGGAGATCGAGAAGCGTCTCGCCGAAGTCAAAGACACCGCCACCTCTTCCTCTTCATCAGCATCCTCCACATCCACCCCGAACATCGCCTACCCGCCGGGCTCGCTAAACCTGGATGCGCCCCGCATCCCCTTCGCCGGCCGCGAGGCCACCCCCGCCGCTGCCGCGGCCCCGGAGGCCCAGAAGCCCATCAATCTGGATGTGTCGCGGGACTCGGTGAACTCGGAGATCGAGGAGCTGCGCGCCCGGCTCGAGGGCCGGCGGCGGTTGGCGCAGCTGGACGGGGAGGTGGAGAAGGCCCGGGCGGATGTGGTGGGTTGTCTGCGGTTGAACGACCGGCGGCCGCTGAACTGCTGGAAGGAGGTGGAGAGCTTCAAGCGCGAGGTCGCGAAGATGGAGGAGGCGTTTGTGGACCGGATTGTTGGTTAAAGTTGGGGATAAAATGGACAGACAGACAGAAAGACAGAGTCGATGTGCGGTTGCTTGGATTGAGAAAGAGAAGGGGGGGGGGCGGATCTTGGGAACATGCGTCCACTGACGTTGTGTAAAGTGTGTTAGTTCTGTGTGAGTGTGTGTATGTGTTAGCTATGTTGTTTCTTTATGAATAGATTCGATTTTTGTGCTTGTTTTTTCTCTGTTGATTTGTGTCAATGCTACGCACAGATCTGTCAAGTTGTGGTTTTATCTTAGTTACTTGCTACATAGATTCAAACACTTGTCTCCGTTTACGAAAAGGTAGACTCAGCAGGGTCTTCCTGACAACATACACAACTCAGCATGGGCATCACTAAGAAACCTAACCAAGACTTTTCAAAACATTCACCTTGAACCAGTCTTTCCTTCCCATGGGATCATTGATATTCAACACCCACCTCGAACCACCCCTAATTGACATCCATAAATTCACTCTACAAAACTGCGGGGTATCATGAAAAACCGAAACCCATCCACATACAACATACAACCATGAAGAGCATTACCTCCAACACAAATCTCATCCACAGCTAAACAAGCTCCCAATACCCCAGTCGCCCAACCAATTCACCCGCAGACCGAACTATGCACATGTTCTTCTTTGCCTTCGCTTTGTCCTTGCTGGCCGGACCAGTAGTAGCCTTCCGGACCTTGATGATCTGAATCGACCCGATACCTGTTCCCTTGCCCTCCGCCAGGTTGTAGTTGCCCGTCGTGACGAATCCAATCAGATCATCCTCGGAGGGAAGCCGGAGGTGTGTCTGACGGTCATCGACCGTGTCGGCGCAGGGGGCTATAAGTGATGCAGCGAGACGCTGTTGGGCGTCTTCTTTACTTGGAGGCTTGTCGGTGGCGGTGGTGTTGGCGCGGGACTGTTTACTTTGATCGGTCTCCTTCGAAGCGAGGGAGACCCAGCGCTGTCTGAGGTCTGGGTCATTGGTGGGGAGACGGTAGATGCGGGCTCGGGGAGTCGGGGTGCCACGGCTGACGAGGGAGATGCGAACTGTGGCAAGGGTGGCGTTATCAACACTGACTGATCGATCACTGAGTGCGCGGGATGCTTGTGATGACGAAAGTTGGTGGATATTCAGCGGTGGAAGGCTCGTAGTAGCATCAGCAGCAGCAGCAGTATCCTTCAAAGTGATATCTGCTTCTTTGTCCGTCTTCTGCGCATCCTCGGCAGCCTTTACTGGGCCCTGAACGAGTCTTTCCCAATCGCATGCCCAACCTCGGCCGATTTCGCCTTTCTGACCATTCCGCAGATCCAGAGAGTCGAATTCGACCCGACGCCCCTTGGGCCGTCGCTCCCATGCCTTTCTCGCCTCCTCTCGCTCGCGCAGACCCCATTCCCACCCGGCACGGGTTCCGGGGTAGTCGCCAGGGAACCAGGGTTCACCGGATTCGAACGCCAGCTGTTGCTGCTCTTTGAGACCTCCGAATCGGGGGATGCCTCCGCTTGACAGCGGGTAGTACATCAGGCTGTACCAGACGGGGAGAACGCATTTCCAAGGAAGCAGGATCGTCCAGCTACCCGGGGCGTTGTTGTCCTTCGATTGCGCAGGCGATCGGCACGCAAGGACGAGGACAGGGATCTGCGGATCCGTCTCCTTTGCTGGGGGGATTTCTCCCGGCCCAGCTGCTGAGCGTCGCCGATTGATGGCCTTCTGGCTCGGCATCTGACGCGCAGCGGCCAGACGCGCACGGCGATCAAAAAGAGCCGGTGCCATCTGGGTACGGTCCGGGTGCCAGTCAGAGAGCAGAACCGCCAAATTCTGCATGTCACTCTCGGATGTTGGGGGTTTCAACGTCTTTGGGGGGTGGCTCAATCGGGGATCGGAGACAAAGAAGGCGAGCAGCGCCTCTCTCGGTAACGAAGCAGCGTTGGACACCCCCAACAAGGAGCTCCAAGTAGCCTCCGGGCTATTCTGTGCGAAAGGCTTTCCATCCGCGGCGACCGGCTTCAGGGAAGCGATCAACGCCTCCGTTGACCCGGGGCCAGTGATTTCAATACTACCAATCTCGAATCGGAGATCCTCGACCATGACGGGCGGGTTCTGCTGTTTCGAGATTACCAACACCTCATTCCACAGCTGCAGGAAAGCCGACGGGTGAACACGGATCCAGAGCTTCTTGCGTTGCTGCTGCTGCTGCTGCTGCTTCTTTTGTTTCCCAGCAGCAGCATCAACATCCAACATCTCCACATCCCGATCCTCACCCCCCGTAGACCCAGCAGCACACCACACCAACATAACCTCCGCAATCGGTCTCCCGCTCTCCCCCTCACCCGGCGCAGCAGCCTCAAACACCCAAGCCCGTAACCCTCTCTTTCCCTCCCTCCACTTCCTCCCCTTAACCCCCCAAGCACCCTGCCCCGCATCACCATCAAGCCCCAGGCCCCTCAAAACAGCCTCCACCGCCGCCCCCGACCCCTCCAACTGCAAGGTAGCCATATAACTCAAATCCCACGCCACACAGCCCCTCGTACCCCTCGCCCGATGCGTAGGCCGATAACTCTTCTCCGTCGGCGACAACGGCACGGCAAACCGCCACAGCGGATCCAGCGAAGTGGTCATCTTCGCCCGCTTCGCATGGAACATATGGGTCGGCAGCCAGGTCTTGCAGCGCTGACGTTTCCGGAACCGGGCCTCGGGCGGCGCGGGGCGCGAGAGTCGGTTCTTCTTGATCTTGGGCACGCGCGGCGCGATCTCGAACGCATGAGTTGTTGCCGCACCCCCGGTGTTCGCCGCCGCCGCCTCCTCCAGTTGTTGTTTGAGCTCAGCCGCCCGCTGCGCCCGCCGCTGCAGCCGTTTCGCCTTCGTCCGCTGGTTCAACCCCTGTAAGCGGCGCGCCGTCTCTAGGCGGATGCGCATCTGTTCGGTGGGTTTGCGGGTGCGCGAGTTGACGGTCGGGGTGTTGTCTTCTAGCATCTGTGCGTATACCAGAATTCAAAGGGTTAGCAAAGGAGAAAACTATTTACCCCCTCCCCAAAAAGATAACCCTAGCCAAAAACAAAAGGCGGACGTACCTCTCTCCTCGCCCTCGCCCTCAACCGCCTCGGCACGCGCTTAACATTATGGCTCGCCGTCCGCCGCCGCAACGCCCGCGGCACCTTCTGGAACGCCCGACTCGTCAACGCCGCCCGCGACCGCTGCATCCCGGCCTCCAGCGACCGGATCTCGAACTCCCGGGCCTCGACGTAGGCCGCGACGTCCAGCTCGCCGGTGACGGACAGGGCCGCGTCCGAGGTCTGCACGGCCAGGGTCCGGGCGTCGAAGGTTTTGGCGCGCTTGCGGGCGGCAGCCGCCGAGAAGCCGTTGTTGCTTTTGCTGTTGTTGTTGTTGTTTTTGTTGTTGCCATTGCGGCTGCTGGTGGTGGTGGTGCTGTTGTTGTTTCTGCTCCCCGCCGTCGCCGCCGCCGCCGCCGCCGCCGTGCGCTTCGAGGGCGGGTTGGACGCCATCCGTATGATTTTGAAAAGAGTCTTGAAAAAGATAAAGGAAATGAAAAATGACTGGCTTGGAAGTGGATCAAAGAAACAAGGTGCAGGTTAGGTGGGTAGAAGCTTTTGTTTTCACCCTCTCCGCTTCCCTAATCCCTGCCTGATTGTAACTTCTGTCAATGATAAAATGATGGAATGGGAACAAATGCATGGCCGGCACATGGAAAGGTTCAGGTTTAGCGCAAGTCACGCTCCCGCCGCGCCGGCCAAAACAGCCACACACAAAAAAAGGCACCCACCAATGACAGCCACTGGAGGGGCTCAGTCTTCAAACAACTTAATCTAAACGCTTGCGAGCTTCGGGCTTAAAATCATGTAGATCCTTGCAAGCCAATGGTTGGCTTGATCTTGTCTCTACAATGTCTTACAGCTTCTGTGTATACCGGCCTGCTTGTTACGCCTTCTACGTCGACGACTCCAAAAGACTCGAGACACTTTGACATCATTCACTAAAGTTACAATGGATCAGGTTTTGATTTCATAGCATCGTAATGCGCTGAATTTCTTCAACTATCTAGTGGGAAGTCTAGCTCTTTCTAACATGACTTTTCGTTTCGCCTTTATTCCAGGTCATTATCCCACAAAGCTAAAGGTCAACGCCATCTATAAAGCCCATGCAACCTCTATGGTATTGGAAATTGGTGCATTTACAGGTTCTTGAGGATGGTCTCGGCGCTCGAGAACTGTGATGAACGTTAGTGGTCGATCAAAAATCCCAACGAGACAAGTAGCTCAACGTACCTCGAGGTGGTTCTTGGCGGGCTCGCGCTTGGCGTAGGTGACCTTGCCGTGGTCGATGATGATGGCGTAGCGGCCAGTGCGGCCCTCCTCATCAGCCCAGCCGATGCTCTTGGAGAAACGGGCCTCGGGGTCGGAAAGGAAGAGCTGTGATTTGTCAGTTGAGGCTCAATGGGGCAGTGGAAGAGGACGAAGAACATACGAAGTCATCACCAGTAACGTTGTTGGCCTTACCCCAGGCGCTCATGACGTAGGCATCGTTGTAGGCAAGGACAGCAACAACGTCGACACCCTTGGCCTTGAGCTCGGGGAGCTTCTCGGCGTACTCGGGGACGTGACGGGCAGAGCAGACAGGGGTGAAAGCACCGGGGAGGGCGAAGAGGACGACCTTCTTATCGGCCCACTCCTTGGAGGCGTTGTAGTTGATGGGGATACCGCAAGCCTGGATCTCCTTGCTCTCCTCAGCCCAGGGGATGTAGCTATCAAGCAGAGGCGAGTCAGTGGAATTGTTGCGAGGTCGATAGCGATGCGGTGGCAAGGAGGTATTGCCAGAGATAGTCGTGCATGCAGGAATAGACAAGAGATAGTGAGAGGATGAACTTACGAGAAGACGACGTCGGAGGGGAAGCTGTCACCGGGGTTGAGGCCAGACATTGTGATGGATTGGTTGTGTGTGAGAAAGGTAGGTTGAAGAAGAGAAGTGAGAGAGTTGTTGATGAATTGGAAGAAGTGGGTTGGAGATTGGTTTAAATACGTAAGAGAAAGAGGGAGAAGAGAGGACGGATGGAGGGAGGAACCCGTGGCGGGTTAAATATATGCTGATGGGATGGATGGATGGTTCTTGCCGGAAGGCGTGCCTGTTGGCAGGCCAGCGAATTAACGCGACGATACGGCAGCGACGGCCCGTCTAAGGCGCCATAAGGTGATCCGAAGCAGAAAGATACCGAATCAATTGGATTCTTACAGTGAATTTTGGAGGGGGGCTGTATTATCAAGAAAGACCGCCCGAGACTGAGCCTTGGGAGAGCCCCGCCAATTGCCCCTCCTCTCCACCGCCGATATCTTTGCTATCTAGACCGTCCTCGGTGACAAATCCACCTCCGTCCTCTCCTTCATAGTCATTGTCTAGATCGGGATGCTGATTGATAACACTCAATTTTGTGCTCACTGCTCAGGGGCTCCAATACCTTATGACTCAGCTGACACTGTGCTCAACTAATCTTTGAGCCATACTGTGAGTATTTCGGAGTCTCGACCGGGTTACAGGCCGAGATCGATAGTAAGTCTGAAAGACAGTGCAGGCGGAACTTATTCCCCCACTCGGACCATCATCATGATACCTCAGACTGACCTTCAGATACAGTTACAGAAGTATCTAAGCCATGAGTTCCATTATGATACTATAATGATACTATCCAGTACCGAAACAATAATCAATCGCGTCCACAGCAACAGCTCCTCGTTAGCCTGAGGAACTAACCGATTGCCACGGCAGTCTCACCCAGTAGCACATCTCCGCCTCACTTCCCAAAAACTACTCCGGAGTAATCACAAAAACCAACTCCCGGACTGACAGACACCACCCTACCTAGTATCGCTCTTATCTGCAACCTAAGGTACCTATACAGAGTCACAGACCCCGGCCCTGCAGGAGGCCGTTGAGACGATCCCACTACTCCCGATGGAGCGCGCTCATTGGCGGACGGCCAGATGGCGAGGACTGTGGATCTCCGAGGCGAATCTCAACCCAATCAAACTTCTCACGGCGTTTGTTGCTGGCAGGGATACGTACTGTGTAGAATCTTCTACGGCTTGTCGGCTTTCTCACCGCCAAACACCCGCCAACTACGTAACCAGCCCCAAGAACCTTGGGGCTTTCGTTCCCCCGCCACTAAGCCGGATCAAAACATCCCTGGTTCCGAAACAACAAGGCTTGGTCCCCATCGCAGGGCGGTACGACGAAGGGGAAAAAATGAAGAAGTTGGTTCCGTGGGTACACATGCAATTTTGTGCCATGCTCGCCACAGAAGTCAATTGAGGTTCTTTTGCTGTAGGAGGGTTGATTCTGCCGGTCAAACAGGTACGAATCTGATAAGACGTTTCGCTGCTTGTCCTCCGTAGTAGCGGTGGCTGTGAATACGCGACATTCTGGTGTCATCTGGACCCTCTGATTACGGTCAAGTTTCCTGCGCAACGACTGATTGTTATGTAGAACTCAGTGATTGATGCTCAGTCATGCACAATACGCTGGGTCTCGGTCTTCACATGCAACCGACTGATTATCTAAGGCAGGTCGAAGTCCGGGGCAACCGTCTCCACTATGCTTATAGAGCATCTGGGTTCCAGAAGGCGATGATTATCGCCACCGATATAATCAGGGACTGATCTGTACATGCTTACATACAGTGCCCAGCATCACTAAGAAATCGTGTCTAGATGCAGGAACCCTCAACCGGATGAACTGATGGCGCCGCATTCGTCTTGAAGGTTGAGACAAACTACTATTCTTGTGAGGCTGTCACTACAAGCGTTGACGGTTGTGCTTCCCAGGCAGAGCCAGTTGTATTGGCAGTGGCATATATGAGCGAATGGACAAGGTCAAAGCAGTTTGGCTATAGCGGTCATGTTGTCAGACAACTCCTTCGCTCGAATTTGAGCAACCATCCTAGAGTTTCGACGCCAGACTCAGAAGCTCAGCGGTGAAACACTGGTGAAAGACCTCTCCTCCTGCGCCAGCGAGTGCAAAGCAGACAGTAGGGTGAGATCGGCGGCCGACAAACCGCTGCTTCGCTGCACACCAGGAACATGAAAAGGCCGTTCTTCAACCTCACAGACCTTGCCATGACTGGGGAGCTCGCCAGTCTGGAAGTATTCTCGAATCACCTTGGCTGAGCACAACGACGGCCCGCTCAATGTACAATGCTGCAGAACGAGACGTTGAGTATCAGTATGTTTGCCGCCACTGTAGGTAACAATCATGACAACCAAAAGTGTAGGGCACTTACCCCAACTGAGTTCTGCTGTAGTACAACCGACCCGGGAAACTGCTTCGACATTGTGAATGCACTGCAGGGACTTTGTTAGCTATATGTCAAAAAGACACAGAGAGAGTTAAAAAAGCAGACTGACTTTCGGAGAGGCGTGACTGGGTCGTAAGTGTTTCCCGCAAACAACAGCGGATGAGATGTGTTCCCAGCGATTGGGCCTTCAGTAGAATAAGTCAGGGTTGATAGAACAATCCGAACTATCAAAGAATGCGCCTACCCTTCAATTGCCATGCAGGCCTTGCCTTCCACTCGATGCAGCCGAAGCGGATCTCAGCCCATATGTCCCCCACAGTCTCACTCTGGTTACGCAGCGTATGCCAGTAGTCCCTGAACGTCTCTTTATCTATTCCACGGATATCCTGCCCGTCGGAGCATAGGATGCTCATCTGCGCCTCGTCGGTATTTTCACCCGGAACCATACACGGCTTGGAACCATTAGGTTCACACGGGGGCGTCCGACGCCAGTCCTGGCGCTCCCGCTGTTTGTACTCGGCGAACGCGGAGCCGTTCCTGTGAGTGAGGTCCGTCAGGAATCGCGCCACCCGCTCGAATGACTCCATCGGCGTGTAAACCGCCTGCATTACCAGCATCTTCACATCGCTGTAGGTGATGATGTCCGGGCCGCGGTCCCCCGACGCCGGAACCGCGACCGGGTTCAACTTGAGGGTCGTCAGGAGATTCTCGTAGCGATCGATCGTCGCTTGCAGGCCCCCCTGCCCCGTAGCGAACGAGCATACATCCGGCCCGACGGAGTCGCAGAGCTCGAAGAAGGACAGCCACGCCGCGTCCGCGTCCTGCAGGTTCGTGAGCCAGCCGCCCGCGTAGTAGTCGTTGACGTCGCACACGCCATCAATCACCGCGCGGTGGATGCGATGGGGCTGCATCGCGGCGAACGTGGATCCCAGGACCGTTCCGTACGAGAACCCCCAGTACTGCAGCTTCTCCTGGCCTGGCACCCAGCGACTACGCCGGAGGATCGCTTTTGCCTCTGCCTCCTCGATGCTGCTGACGGACTCCTCCAGCGAACCCCTCTCGCGCAAGCTTCCAAGAATCCTCTTCGTTTCATGCTCCCGCCACTCGCCATGCCGCTCAATGAGCTCAACCATATCCGCGACCACCGTCGGGGTGTTCATGAACCGCCCGATCCATTCGCCGCTTTCCTCGTCCCCCGGGTGAGTGCAGGTAAACCCCATTGCGCCATGCCGCGCCCACCGCGCATCAAAGACCCCCTCCTTGCTCCCCAAAATCCCCTCCGCATCCACCTGCAACTTCCACGCCCGTCGCGCGGCCGAGTCACGGAAACACGAGAATGCGGGGGTGGTGTTATTGACCCCGCGGGGATCAAAGCTGACCACATCGAAAAACTTTTCTTCGTTTTGTTGTTGCGAATCCGGCGCTGCCGGCTGCGCCGCCGAGTCCACCACGGTCTGGATGTGCTGCCCCCGCTTGAGGAGCATACTCACGCCCGAACCGCCTGGGCCCCCGGGGTTCAGGAGAATCGGCCCGCCGTATCGCGGATCGGTGACAGGGACCTTAGCGGGGCGCTTGATCACGGCCAGTGCGATCTTCGCGCCATGAGTGTCTGTGCGGTTCCAGTCCATGGGGAGCTCGAGGCGGGCGCATTCGTGGCCGTCGAAGCAGGGGTGGTAGATGAGGTGCTCGGTGGGTGTGATCTGGATTGTTTTTCTTAGTTTCGGATTACAAGGATTCAGATCAGACTCAATATATTTACTTGGTCCCAGCTGAAAGGACTGCCTTTATCGGCATGTGGAGAGCCATGATGGGGCTTCGCGCACTGCGGTCGGAGAAGGTGCAGGTGGGATTGGGACAGAGCCACGGCTCCGACTAGTAGTAGGACGATGACATGGATGGCTCGTTTTGCGGGCCGTGACGAGCTGGATGGCGATGGTGGGATTGGTGACTGGGGTCCAGGAAGGTAGTCGTTTGGTTTCCACGAGGGAGGCATCATCATGTGATAGAAAGGGTTGCAAGCCGGCTTTCTCGAGTAGAAGTATCAGCGCACCCAGGTGTTGGAACAGGATAAATCTTCGTGTGTCATGGACTGACATTGTGTTGCTACCACTGAGTAATACATATGCCAACGGCAAGTCGTGTCCGGTTGTATGCGCTAGTCTAGTCTATAGCGGCGTTGCATCCATGCAGCCAGCAGTCCAGGCGGTATTGACGGCCTCGTATCTGCCATGTTCACAATGGAGTGACTCCTGGTAATTAAGTGCTCATTTGACCTCTATGATACCAAGTAACTAAATCTCTATCGGTTTGAACGCGACCGAGTCCCAATTCTTGGAATTTGCGGGGTTCACTGTTGCCACCGACTGGAGGTTGGATGCATGCTTAAGCATAATAAACAATTGCGTGATATATCTTTAGCTGGCAGATAAGGCGGGCGGCGAGCAACCACCTTTCTACAACGTAATAATCACCACTTTACTAGTTATCTCACCTCACTTTGCAGAGCTCATCAGAACTCCATCGTCCTATCTTCCATCCCTAAACCTAGCTATCCCAAATTGAAATAGCGAGTAATCCAACTTACTCGGTACGTAGTATCGGACTAAAATCTGACATCCAGCCCCAACAAAACAAGCCTGCCTACACAGTACATGCGTAGCAAGATCACATGACCATAAGCATCACACCACCACAAGCCAACCACAACAATTAATGTAATCTCCGAACTATAAGCCAGTGCTCCTCCTCATCAACCACGCATCTCTCATCCCAAGTGCGTCTCAGCCAAAATAAGCTCCTCAATCTGACAAAAAACAATGGCCGACATCAAGCCACCATTCACCGAGGAATCAGCCCGCAAAAAGGTCAAAGCGGCCCAGAACCTGTGGAATTCCCAGTACGTTTGGTCTCCTAGCTGTTGTCGTTAGGGCTCGAAGGTGCTATTTGTTTTTGTTTCACCTGTGATTTCTTGCAAACTACTACTCTCTGTTGCAAGATGTCTTTTTGTCGTGTCTCACTCGATATCGCTCACGCCCACGCAGGCATGAAGGAGTCACATCATCATGCATACAGTAGACATTTGCTTCCCCCCTCCCACTCCCCCCCCTTGCTTGCGGGAATCGAGGGAGATCCCCCCACCCCTTCCTCTCTCTGCAACCCGCCCTCGTGCTGCCCCTTTCCATTTTCTGCATTTGCATCACAGGATTTCCCATCTCTCTAAATCTGCACCTCGAGGGCAGCATTATGCAACAAGAAACCTAAGATGTTTGTGCTCAAGACGAAACGTCGGCACCGAAACCTCACCTTAGATCATGCCCTCAGCGTAAATACTATTCTTTCCCGCACAATACTTACGAAGCGCCCCAGAGACCCCGTTCGAGTCGCGCAGGCCTACACCCCGACCTGTATCTGGCGCAACCGCACCTCCTTCTTCACCGGAACCGAGGGCATCGTCGAGTTCCTAACCGCGAAGTGGAAGCGCGAGCGGAGCTATCGTCTGCGGAAGGAGCTGTTCGCGTTCACGGACGACCGGATCGCCGTGCAGTTCTGGTACGAGTTCCAGGACGCGGACGATGGGCTGCGCTGGAAGCGCTGCTACGGGCTGGAGGACTGGACCTTCGACCGCGAGACGGGGAAGATGCGTAAGCGGATGATGAGTGGGAATGATATCTTGATTGGACCCGATGGGAATGGCGAGGGGAGGTGGTTTGTGGATGGGGTGGATGTTGACGAGGCGGAGATTGGGGAGGAGCATTGGTAGTGATGAGATTAGCTTGGTGTCCTTATGTGTTTATGAGACGATAGCTATACTGAGTAATCCGATATCCCCGTGGCCACGAGCACGGATTTTGCATGCGAGGTTGTTTTCAAGTTCTTCTCGGAGCTGTCAATCAGAAAACCCCAGCAGATTTGACAGTGCATGTTCAGTCTATGCATGCAGTAGAACCCAATTGGGTGGATGAAAGGGCGCCTATTCAAAGGTGCATTACGCCTCATCTGGACGTTAATTCCACAAAGCACAAATTTTCATATTTTGGATTTATTGTTGGTATGTATCCCAGCGATGGAAGTGGGTGTGTGTTGTTGTTGTTATTCTCCAATCATGATTTGCCGCCCCTGGTTATAGGGAACGAAGGGGAGGCACTGGAATGTGCAAGCAACTCCCAAATGAACGCTCAGACTTTCCCTTCCCTCCTCTTCCTTTGAAGTGAGCTAGCTCACTGGAACTTCTGGAGGGATGGGCCAAATACTCAGTAGCGTGCGAATGGTGGGTGATCCTCAGCTATCATGTATGGTGAGGCTTCGCACCGATGAACATTCGACGAGACAACTCGCTATGCGCGAGTGACTCGTATCATAGGGTGAAAAGTAGATCAACCAGCAATCAAGCCAGTCCGCCAAGCTCAGCGGTCACTGTGTTGTCCAATGCTGGCTCGAGTGATGTCTTCAGTTCGAGCCTCGAGAATTGGCCAGAGACTGCATTCCACCCAAATCTGCGGCGATACCAATCAAAGAAAACACCACTTATTGGCCATTCCACGGAGTTGGCCTCTGCATGGTATGCTCCAGACCAAGCCCTGGGTGAATCGACCTGTGTTTGTTTGGCTTTTTGGGATTTCGAGTAATGTGCCCATGGGGCATGCGCCTCTGCGCAAAGTTGGCTGGCACACACATTGCAATGTATACTGTCGAGTGCCTGCCCTGTCCGTCCCCTCCCTTCATCGATGCTAGCAACAGTCGTCACACTCCTCACCCACTCACTCACCCACTCACTTACCCACCGCTATCGCCGCCTGCATCATAGTCCGGGAGCCGCGTCGTGGTCGTCATCCCACATGTGCTACACGAGGTTTCGCTAGACGACAGTCGACCGGGAGATTTACTAACCAAACACTCCTAGGCACGCGACACTCACCCACTTCGACCCGCTTGATTCATTCACAGATCAGACACAGACACCTACGTGGCCAGTCGTCCAAGACCCCATCTTGCTGTCTCGAATACGTGACCTAAACACCTCGCGTCAGGCCGTGTCTGACTATCTTCGAACTTCACACGCGCAAGTCAGGAGATTCTGCCTTCCCCTGATCGACCAGATTGACATCTCGGAGAATTAAACTCAGGATCACATTGAAATGTCAATCCTGAGGTAGGTCATCTCGCAGTGCTAAATCGGGTACACGGGGGGAGATGGATGAGAATAATCAAGTCTACCTGAGTCCTCAGATGATGCGGACCCCATTGATGGATGCCACAACAAGAGTCAACAAATACCCAAGCCTCAGAGAAGAGAAGGAGGAGCAGATGAAGCAAGGACGATACTACCAAGCTACCTCGCCAATGCCGATGTCGAATGTGACCAGTCCATTATCGACAAAGCCCGATGCGGAGATGAATTACGCGACCCCCGTGGCCGAGTCAAGGGCTGCAACAAACCGACACTCAACTATCTCGGCCACATCCACCGCCTCCAACAGGGGGAAGCGGAAAACGCATGTTGGACCATGGCATCTGGGAAAGGATCTTGGGAGTGGCGCAAGTGGTCGCGTGAGATTGGCGAAGCATGCAATTACTGGTCAGACTGCAGCGATCAAGATCGTGTCGAAGAAGTCGGCGGCAATGACGCAGAGCGAGAGCATTGCGGGGATGGACCGGAAGGCAGGTCACTTTGGGGGACCCGGCATGCGACATATTCCATCCGGACTTGAAAGAGAAGTGGTTATCATGAAGCTCATCGAGCATCCGAACGTGATCAGTCTATATGATGTCTGGGAGAATCGTGGCGAATTGTAGGTGCAACAAGTCTGCTGCTTGTCTGCCTAATTGCTAACTTTCTGTCACCAGGTATCTCGTTCTCGAGTACGTCGAAGGAGGAGAGTTGTTTGAGTACGTGCAGAAGCATGGTCCATTGCCGGAAGAAGAGGCAGTGCGATTATTTCGGCAGATCATCGCAGGCCTCGGTTACTGCCATCGGTTCAACATCTGCCATCGCGACCTAAAACCCGAGAACATCCTGCTGGACAGCTGGCATAATGTTAAACTAGCTGACTTCGGAATGGCCGCACTTCAACCCATGAATCAATGGCTGAATACATCCTGTGGTAGTCCACACTATGCTGCCCCAGAAATCATTTATGGCCGGAGGTATCGTGGGGATATGGCAGACATCTGGAGCTGCGGTATCATCTTGTATGCGCTCTTAACAGGCTTTCTTCCCTTTGATGGAGGCGATCTGCCCAGTACCTTGCGCCTGGTCAAAAGAGCAGAGTTTGAAATACCTCCCGAGGTAAGTCTCGAGGCCACTGACCTCATCAGGAGGATCTTGCAGAAGAGACCTGAAGAACGGATTAATATGCAAGGCATATGGGCGCATCCTCTTCTGAAGAAATATGAGAAGCTCCACCAGGCGATGGCGAATCATTACGTGGGACCCGCTCCGCCCTTGTCGTTGGATGAGTGTGGTGAACCTATCGCTCATAGACACGACGTTGACCCTGATTTGTTAAGGAATCTTCAGACATTATGGCATGATGTTCATCAAGAGGTTCTAATTGAGAGAATTCTATGTCCCGAGTAGGTCAATCCTTGGTATCATTACTTATTGGTGACTCCCAGACTGACTCTTTATGTCACTCAGACCTACCCATGAGCGAATGTTTTATAATGCATTGGTCAAGTTCAGGAACGAGCAGCTGGAAAACTACCAAGGCCAAGCCCTGGAGTATTCTGCCAGTGACTATCATCATATATCGCGGGTGGAAGAGCGCAGTGCCTATAAGCGAAACAGTCATGCAAAGTACCACTCCAGGAAACAATCTCAGGCGTCGGTCAAAGAGACAGGCATACGAACCAGAAGATCGGTCAGAGAGCCGATGTCTTGTGCCACAGTGGAGAGCTATGATCCGTTCCGATCTCCGAAGCATAACATAGCGCTGAAGGAAGCCGAATTTGCGCAAATCACGATCTACCGGAACGGAATTGACGAAGTCGGGACGTTGGAGAAACCTCCCGTTCCTCGAGTGCCAGAAACTGTAACCAAGGAGTCATCATGCCAGGAGATTGACTGCCCGCCAAGCTCACCGTTTATAGTGAGCCATAAAAAGAAACTGAAAGTCGCTTCGATGAAGTCATTCCAGTCCAGAGCCTCACAGGCGTCTCGACGAGCTCTGTATGGCACACCAACGCCGCGATCGGCGAGTTACAAGCGTAATGTGTGTTTTCGCCATGCTCGAAGTCGCTCCCAGGGATCCGTTTCGGTCAGGACGAAGGCCGCGCGGGTAAGGACCTGCGAAATCATAGCAAATCCCAGTGACGGGAGTTTGGTATCTGAGTTCGAAGACGATCCATTTACAGATACTAATGGCAGTCCGACGCTTCCGGCTCAGCCAACCGTCGTTCGAAGTGCGGGTGTGACGATCAAGAACTGCCCTCAAATGAAGAAGTTGCGAACCACTGATTACACTTGGAAGGAGGATGCGCGGAAGGTGTCCCACGAGCTGAGCCAAATTTGTGAGGAAGCTTTCAACGGAAGTTCACTATCCACTGCGTGCACGAATACCAGCACTTGCATCGGATCAGAAACCCCTGCAACGTCAGTGTCCATGACCAGTCCTGAAGCTTCGGAACAAACAATAAAGTCGAAGACGTCCACCAGTCGACCAAAGCCCCTGCCTCCCGTCTCATCACCAAAGCCCTATACAGTTGCAGAGTTAGCTGAAACTCGACGTAGGTTGATCGAGCACTCCACTAAGGGTGGGAATGAGGATATCCCTGGCTACTTGGTTGCCGTGATAGGCCACCTCGACAGACTGATTGAGCAGGATGAGCTTCGACAACGTGACAGACCCGAATCAACACGTCCCGATTCTATATCTTCCGCTGACCCCTTCGTCCGGCCTCAAATTGGGCAACACAGCAACCGCAACAGCGTCATCGTCGCCTCCGACGGCCAAAGAACGGCAGCTCTTCGGCCAAAAAATGTCGACTACGCTGCAAGCCGTACAAGCCGGGACGGCAAGCGGACAATACGCATGGTGCCTCAGAGCTCCGTGCAGTCAATTGAACCGTCCAAGCATCTACCGGTTCAGAAAAGCCAAGCCGTGCTTCCACAGGAAACACGGCAGTCGCTCGATGGATATAATATGGCCCCTGACAACGATCAGGGGTCCCTACCCAATAGACGATTTGCCTCCGTGAATTCTCGTCACAGTCGCATTCCCTGCGAGCTGGATCCTATTGCGGAGAATCCTGGATCGCCCAGGCGCAGCGCCACTCGAACATCAGACAACAGAAAATGGTCCTGGCTCCCCAACAAGTACAACACCTCTAATATGGAAAAGGGGTCCAGACACTCGGCACATATCCGCCCAATACAACCCAGCTCAGAGACCGTGATTCGACATGAGGTCCATCCGCCAACGGATCTATTCGCGATGCAAGGGGAATCCCACGCGAACGAGAAGCAGTCACCTTCCAAAGCTAAGACCGGATTCTTCCGGCGTCTGATTAACCGGCGAACAAGCAAAAGTGCGCAGAGCCGTGAATTAGGTCAGTTTCCTTGCCCTCGGCGCTTGATAGCTTTCGCTAACGATAGTTCACAGTCGTAGAACCTGAAAGCGCAGAAACAGACCAGCTGCTGGAACAGCCTCAGCAGCCTGAGCACACGCTTGACACCAGTGACAGCAACAGCAAGTCCCTCCCAGACCGGCCATCCAACCCAGGCAGAAGCCAGAACTGGTTCGCCCGAGTCTTCCACTTCAAGCCCGCGACTAGAGTCGTGGCACTCAACACTTCAACCACGAAAGCCCGAAAGGACGTTCACAGAATCCTCCGGGATTGGAAGAAATACGGCATGCAGGATGTTCACCTCGACCGTGATAGACAAGTCATCTATGCTACCGTCGGTGAAGCGAACTGTAGGTTGATTCCTAACCACATGTAGATCTGGAAGCACTTGGACTAATGTTGCGACACACATACAGTCCTCCGCCTCCGACCTGTTCAATTTTCCGCTGAATTCTGCACCTACCTCGAACGCGGCCGACAAGAGAACCTCAGTCTTGTCCGCTTTAGACAAGAGAGAGGAGCAGCATCTTCCTTCAACAAGGTTGTTGACGCACTCTCCATGGTCATGGAGCAACGCAACATGCTCGTGGAAGATCCAGCCCGAGCGAAGGAGATGGTTCGGATTCTGGACGCTTTCCCAGATTCTTAATCGCCGAACAAAACTGTCTTGTTTCCAGCAGCTCTTTTCCAAAGTACTCTTCATACCAGATTTCACTCTATAGCAACCCTGCCCTCACTTCTATCTGCTTCAAGCAACGATTTCAGTTCCCACATAACCAAGGAGTCATTTTGTCTCGTTAGCCCTCAAGTCGGCGCCATGCCCCTTGTAAAGGCCACAGTTTCCAGCTTACCGACCAGGATCAGGTGTTCAGGTTTCCCCTTTGGCCCTTCGTTACTTCCTGGAGTACTCCCGTGTTAACACCTTGACTGAGCGAATCTGTCTCGATTTCATCTGTATTTCTTCCCTTCTCTTTTAACTTCCATTGCAGCTACCTTTTTCCTGCGATGTCACCACGGTGATTACTGACATTGATTCCGATACTGATACAACCCCAATTGCAAGTGTACCGTAACTCATACTTTCTTCATATCTCCCCTTTCTTTCAAACCTAAACCTAGCGTGCTCTGCTTTTCCTTGTCGAGTAATTTAAACTCTCCATACTTTCAGCATGTGATTTCTCAAATACCTGATTACTTTAAGTCTCAATTGAAATTCTTCTTTTCCAAGAATTCCCTCGCCCATTCCTATTGGAAGATTGAAGTAATGCGCCAAAGACATCCTCGACTCATGCACCCTCCCCTGAAAAGCACACCCAGAGTATCGTCACCTCGATAGGGTGGGAGAGCCGACCCCAGAGAAAAAGCAAGAAAGAGGTCAGTCTATACCACCCCATGCACCATGACGATCGCTATCGCTATCCCTATCACTATGCACCATGCACCTAACCCAAACCACCAATCCATTCCCATCAACTGCAGGCCCAACGCCGATCGATCCCATACCACATTCTACAGACCCCCTCCATACCTACTAGATATACCTACCCCCCGGGGAAAGAAGAGAATCCCCGTTCCTCATGCTGCACCAAGTCGAAGTGGAACGAAGCCGAAACGAAGACGGGAAGGGTACTTACTATACACCAACACCATTAGGCGCCTGAGGCAGGCAGGCAGACGGACGGACAGGCAGACAGACAGGCAGGAGGCAACCAAGTGTAAGTTAACTCCAGGTATAGTTTGTGATTGTCCGTGTAAGGCAAACGAAAGTTGGTCCGGGGCAGTCAGCTGCGGTACCAGGTTTCTAGCTTTTCTGGGCCGGGAGCGAACTAGTGAGGGCTTCTCCTCAGCTCTCCTCTCTTCATTCCTTTGTCAGGGTTGGAAAAAGAGATAGATCCAGGAAAGGGAAGGGAAGGAGCTTATGTACCGTCGACCCGGGGGGGGGGAAGCTGCTGACGGGAGCTTCTGCTGACCCTTAACCCCTGGAATACGACTGCTCATGCTCTTGCTTCTAAAGCGTATCTAAATCTTTGGGTGAAGTTAACACTCACTTACTTGCGTGTCTCCGTCAAACGCGTTCTCATAGCCACCGAAACATTACTTCCACTAAGCACTGACGACAGAATAATCATTACTCGGTACAGCAACCACAACAGAAGTGAAGACTAGGGAATTTAGCCATTCCAGAATCTAACGAAAGAAAAGTATCCGTAATACCAGAATCATAGATAAAGAAATAGATGTGAATAGATAGGCATAATCATCTTGGAATGGACAACTAGAAGGAGAAAGAAAGAAAAAGGACATGCACAAATGCTGCATCGAATGGAACGACATGCACTGAAAATTCAAGGCACGCATGATTGCGAATTGATAAAGTCGGATAAAATGTTGATCAGACAGCCTCCCAAGTGATATAGAAAAGGAAAGGAACAAAAGTAAAGGAAACCAATGCGGTGATGATGAGCTACAACAAAAAAAAACCTGCAACATAAAGCCTCCTTTTTAGGGCGATATGGACTTCCGGATGAGACAAACAGTGGAAGTAACACGATCGCAAACCAACCAAGACTTTAGAAAAAAGCGCATAATCAGATAGCCTCCCGAAAAAAAGAAAAGAAAAGAAAAGAAAGGCAGAAACGTGTTGATAAGATAGATAATGAGACAATTCGAATCGAAACAGAAATTGAGAGAGATTCATCACTCATGCGCCGGGAAAAGCAGTCGAAGGACAAGCGAGCAGAATTTCGCATTTTGAAGTCGGATCGTAATGTGATGGATGGCGGATGAAAGGCTTTGGGATATTCTTTCTGAACATGACAAACACGAGTGGCAAGCAAGGAAAATGGGCACTGAACCCCCGATTGGCATCTGCCGCGTCAGTTCACATATCGTCGAACTGATATCATACCACTCCGGAATCTCTTTTCAGAACAACCGACTCGAAAGGCGCGAGCATATCGTAAATGCAAGAGGCATCAAATAGCGCTCGTATACGAATGGGACTCGCAAAGCTGATAATGGAAAAATCAATAATAGGTTACCCCGAGTACTGTATAAAGCCGTGGGTTTGTCTTGGATAGAAATAATGGCATGGCGGAGAAATATGTGCGAGGTTTTGACTGTGAAGGCACAGCGAGCGTCGACTTGAGTCGCAGTAATGACAAAACGCACACGCCGCTTGCCGCACATGATAAGCAACCAAAGACAGGCATTCTCATAGTCAAATCATGCAGCTCATAAAACTCTTGCGTCTCGTTTCCATAGCCTCGTCGTCAGAGCAAACGGTTGTTGGAATGGTCATCGCTGCACATCACTCCCATGTTGCGCAAATGTTGTCAATTCACCGCCACTGCTTCCTTCAGATCCAAGGCGGACTGTTTGTCGAGAAGTATCACCGGCGATCCGAGGTCACCATTTCGTGCAGCGTCATCATTATCCATAGCGTCAATCAGAAAGAAAAATCCGTTCACAGGTGGCACACGTCGTTCCTATTCTTTTCTTGCGTCATACTTTTCGTCTCGTCCCCCGCCTAAGAAACAGTAATGAGGGCCGCTACTGTATCGGCGTACGGAGTAACAATCCGTTGGCCGTGCCATGTGGAAGAATGTGTGACCAGCACACGAACCTGGCGCATCACCAATAACCAACACAAAGGCGACAATTTCCGCGACAGTTTCCACCCTTGACCCTCTCCTCCACGGGGCAACAAGTTTCGCATGTGACTCTTCTAGTACGTGATCACATGCGCACTTAGATTGTCGGGGCGGATGTTTATTGGTTCAGGCCCCGACGGTTCAATGCGTTGAGCATATCACTATCGGTGCTGGAGCGACCCTGGCTGTCGCCTGGGTTCAGCATGTCACGCACATTGAGTCCTCCACGAGTCGAACCACCCGGCGTGGAAGTGGGCGGAGGGGTCATTGCGCCCTGAGCGGAATGCATGGGAGGGTAGGGCGAACCGTGGGGCGAAGACGTATGGCGGCCATCGTAGGGGTAACTTTGTGGAGAAGAGCGGCGATCATGCTGCGGAGGGGGGTAGTAGGGACTGGGAGCATTGTGCGTTTGATATCCCGATGCTGATGTTGAAGGTATTACTGGAGCCAAGTTTGTGGGATCAGGATAGTCGTAACCGGAGCCAGAGCCTCGACGGCCACCAGGTCTCTGCGAATCGATCATGATCAGTCCTGACTGTAACATAAACTAACAAACAGAGGGGCTTGGTGACTCACGTGTTCCGGCGCATTGGTTGATGCAAGGGGGGGAGCGGCACCCGGATAATTGTACATTCCTTGCGGTGGTGGAAGAGTCGGGTCGGCCTGAGGTTGCTGTTGAGGCGGGAGCGGCTGTCCATGCGCTCCATATAGCATGACGGGAGGGCCGCCAGCTCTCTGGTTTTGCGGATTGCGCAGGTGTGGATACGCAGCATGGGCGGGGACGAAGGCTTGCGCCTGCGATGAGACAGGGGTGAACATGCACTCTTGGTTGAACCGGATACAGTTGCTGCAGCGCCCATCCTGAGAGCTTTCAAATCCCGAACAACGAATCTACAAATCCCGCGGAATTCGTGTTAGCCCACACTGTCGGAAAGTAGAACTGCGGATGCCGGTAATTGATTTCATTCCTCAATGAACATACCTTCCGTCTCCGACAATAACGGCAAGCAATGGCAGTCCGCTGACGCGGGGCGGCAGCTTGATAGACTACCTGAGGTTGTGGTGGGGGCGGCTGTGCATAGACATCTGGACGATAAGGACCAGACGGCGGAGGAGGAAGACGGTATGGGTCTTGCGGGCCCTGGACGTGGGGATGGATAGCAGCCATGTTTGGATACTGCGGCGGGGGATGCGGATATTGGTGATCGGCCGACGGAGGAGGGTAGGAAGCCGGGGGATACTGCAGCGAAGGAATCATTGTTAGTAGGGATTGAGTAAAGAGGCATCGACTGAATGGAAGTCTCCTAGGACTGGAAAGATTGAGTAATTGGAGAGGAAAAGACTCGGAGATCAAGTGGAGGAAAGATGGCAAAGCGAAGGCCGCAACTAACAGCATCCCCACCACGGGCCTTCCTCTTTCCCCAAAACATTTATAGAACCGCTATTATCAAACGAGGCTAGACATACCGGGTATTGAGAAGCTGGCGGATAGTGCGCCGGAGGGTTGTCCTCGGGTTGACTAGTGTTCCACTGAGGTGGTGGATACTGTCCCTGTCGATTAGGGTTGCTGAGATCGTGGGGGTTGGTGGACATTTGTAACGACGAGTGAGCGAGGACTGTTGCTTTAAAACGACGGAACGAGGATGGGGGGAGACGAGAGGACAAATGCAGGATGATGTGAGTCGACAGTCACGTCCCGCGGGTCGTTTTAGCCAAGGATAAGCAGGCAGCAGGGGTGTTCTTCCTTTAGAAGTGGAGGAGGGGGGTGTGAACTGTGGTAGTGGCTGTCGTATGTATGTATGGGCAGGTTGTATGTATGTAAGACTGGAAAGAGGACTGCCAGGACGGTATGTATGTAAGTAATGGCAGTAAGCAGTATGTAAGTACGTAAGAAGAACAACAGTCACAGCAGCAGTATGTACGGGAGGACAGAATAGGTGTGAGTGTAAGAGGATAAGTGTGTGTGCGCGTGTGAAAGAGTAGTGCAGTTGAGTGTATGTGAGCGCGCGCGCGCGTGTGTGTGTGTGTGTGTGTGTGTGTGTGTGTGTGTGTGTGTGTGTGTGTGTGTGTGTGTGTGTGGTAAAGCGACCAGGATGTCGATGCGGAGTAGAAGCCGGTCAGATAGTAGGTCAAATCAAAAACAGTTCCAGCTCCCGTCGGGTGATTTACGAAGCTAGCATAGCATAGCCTCGTGGTCACGCTGAACCGGATGGGGGAGTGTACGAAGGCAAAGAAAGAATTAAAAAAGAATCAAGGATCTAATCCGCACCTGGTCGAGCACCAACGAGGAAGGGGAGGAGGGAGGGGGGGAAGGAATGCAGATAGGCGAGATGAACGGATGGCAAAAAGGAAGACAGACCGGGGGGGGAAGAGAAGGGAAGAGAGAGACTGGGAGGTTGAAGAGAGGCGGTGGAGGGAAGAATAGGTGTAGGAAGTCGAGGTGGTCGAATTTAGCAAGGGTCAGGGAAGGATAGTAAGGGGGGTGGGGGGGAAGACACTCGATGGTTGAAAAAATAAAATAAATAAAATAAAAAACAGAAATCAAAAAATGATAAATAATAAATATCGAGGGACAAAGAGAGTACCCAGATGGGTCAAAATTGACAGAAAAAGAAAAATTAGAATGAGATATTCAATCCCGAAATCAGAAGATGAATTGAGTAAGAAATGAAAAGGGAATTAAAAACCAAAAAAAAGAAAAATAGAAAAAGAGAAAAAAACAATCGCAAAAAATGAAAAAAAAAGAGAAAGGGAGGCTCGGGGGTTTGAATTATGACGTGAGCGTTGAACACTGAGGGGCTCCCAAAGCGGTAGGCCTAATCCAGCTCAACTCAGGCCGGAAATATCGAAAGCCCACCGGTGATGGTGATCCTGAAACGAGCAAATTGTGATAATTGTGATAGAGGTAGGAATGAAGTTTCAATTGAGCGCAGAAAAGACACACATACAAGGGTTAGAGGATGGTCACGTACTATGCACAATGGGAAAAGAGACCAGCAAGGGTTATTGTCGGGCACGGGCAAGAAGCGTTACGCGGTCGAGGAAGAGAAGGTGATAGAGGGCGTTAGCGGGCAAAGAAAGGGCGTCTGCTATGCCTGACAGTAGCGCGGATGCAATCATCAGTATGGATCAAACACCACAGAAACGAGGGATGCGAGCATAGCAGGGTCAGAGCTGCCGATTAGACACTAGGGTACCACCGAGCTTGGCTGTAGCGAGAATCCCGAGAGCCCTCGAGGGCAAACCGGCGGGTGCACGCCCCTTCTTTAATCTTGTAATTTTGGGTGCTTTTGTTCGGTCCTTCACCTACCTCAGTTCTTTTCTGCAGACTTCGCAGTGTGGCAAGGAGCAGGGTGAAAATTTCAATAGATACTGTTGCTAGGAAAGAGAAGACTCTGTGGAGGGAAGAGCCGAGAAATACGTCGTGTCAAGTCGATGACTTGATTGTAAATAGCTGCTTAGATGCAGAGGAAAGATAAGATGAGGCTCGATCAGCGGGAGATGAAGAATAGAAAATCACAGGGCTTCAGAAGCCGAGTAAGAAGATAGCGGAGGGGCGCAAGCAGAAATTGGATTAATGCACCAATTCGGAATCTAATCGAACGCTCGGATTGAAAGCAGCCAAGCTATGAAGACGGAGTTTGAGTGTCTTTGCGCGTTCTTCTCATGGTGCCCTACTTTCTTTACTATTCGTTCTCTTTTCCCTTTGTGTGTGTCGCTTTCCTGGTGTCAATGTCTTGAGTGACCAATAGCCTACACTCAACGAGAAATCCATACCTTCATCAGTCGCAGCCGCAAGCCGAATTGAGGTGCCAAATATTACATTGGCAGAAATGTGGCAGTACTCTACGGTACGACCGAGTGGAAGTGGTTCTTTGGGTGGCCGACTCGCCGGTCCGCCCGGGAGGCAAATTAGTGAGAAAAAAAAACGGTTGGGTCAAGCACACGAGACGCAGGGTGCCAGTCCCACGGCCGGGCTGACGGAAAGCGGAAAGGCGGGAAGATAGTTTGCGATGGGGAATCCCAGAGGAAGAAAAAATAAAATGCAACAGCCAACAGGCGGTTCCCTGGGACAACTGGGTCCCTGGATTTGGATACGATGCAGGTCTGAAATGTGCGCAATGAGAGGAGAAACATGAAGTTGCTTGGAGTGAGCTATTAATCAATCCTGTGCAAATTAATTGATCCTTCTTCAGCGTACCGGCATGATGGCGGTGGTTTTGGTGTATACTACGGTAAACTACCGTGTAGTGTTTGTCGGCCAGATACTCGAGGACCGGTCGCTATTGGTCCGGCTGGAGAAATTCACCACGCGGGCAATTAAATTGACGTGGATACTAGAATCCTCATGGAACAAATCTCGATTAAGCCCCCATTGTCAAGCGGTCGGGAAGGGGAAGGTAGGGCCGAGTGACATTATTGAAGGAAACGAGTCGAACGGTTGGTGATGGAAGAGCTTATTATACCCCCGGGTGCATGTTGATTATATCTAGGCTGACATACAGCAAAATCATAAGTTAGCCATTTTACCTTGCCCCAGACAACAGAAGCGACGTGTAAGAAAGTAGGGAAAATATGGACCAGAGCTGGTGAGTGACTGGCTGACTGAATGCCTGGAGTAAGTAGCGGCCATGGCCAGGAAAACCGCGGATTAGGTAGATAGAAGAACGGTCTGCGGTCGTAGTGGACCCTTTCCGACACGCCGGTGACCCATAGAAATGGACGGGAACTCTCTTAAGACGCAGCTAAAGCACTCATGGTTCCATGGGGATCAGCTGAATCGCTCGGGTTGGGCGTTTGGCAGGCCCGGGGCGAGCGCTACTGCGAAGTCTAGAGCCTGAAGAGGGGCGTAAGTTTGCGGAAAAGTGCAAAAGAGCGCCCAGTGACGAGTGATGACGGAGAGAGGGTACGCCGGGACGGGTAAAGGCGCCGTGACGGAACTCCACCTACTGGGGCGGCTTCGAGTCGGTCCTTCCGTCTCCAGCTTGACACTTGGCCTCTTTCAGCATAGTCTCTTGGTTGTGCCCGTAGTCTGTTCTGTTCTGTTCCACTTCCTGCATGCACCACACCTCCTACGTACTGTACGTATGTACGGTACCTATGTTGGTAACGAGTCCCGTAATCTATCACTGCTTGGTGTTTTAAGATACAAATACACATCTCCATTCAGCCAACTTCCACTGCATAGTACAAGGGCAGCACTGTCCGCGGTAGGTACGATACAGTACATACGTGATCAAAATGTGGTTTGGTATGTGTTGCATTCTTAGGGGAAATTCGACCATGATCTCTCTTCATCTCCTGCAGCAGCAGCAGCAGCAGTTTCATCTACCAAGAATACCCTCGTACTTACTTACTCCATAATACCTACTGTACTTTCTCATGCAACTACCATTTAGTGATCTTGGACCATGTCCGTGTTCTGATTCACATGACCCCCTCTGGCCCCCTCTGGGATGGTGGGCATCGAACTATCCCAATTTTAGCACTTGAGCCGGGCACTGTGCGCTTGGGTCTTGATACAAAGATAGAAATTGGCCTGCAGTTGCCGTGCTGTATGTACATGTAGGTACGCGGCCAATATAGGAAGGTAGCGTATGTACAGACCACCTACGAAGACCGTCGTTGACTGGGGGGGGAGGGGGGGTGCACATCGATCTCTATCTGGAGCTGGGACTTTATTGTGTTTTCCACATTGCCCACTGGTGTGTGTGTCATTGAAGCCGTACCTTTTTGTTTTCGATTCATGGCAGATATGTACTGCGTTATCATCGTACAGATGAGCGAGAAAGATTAACAAGTCAATTCGCAGCGAACACCGCTTTCCTGGTTCCAGACCTGAAATAGCTGCATAGGAAAAGGTAGCCGACCTATCTGAGTGTGTTGAAATAATCGTAGGATTACACACGTACATTTCACTCATAAAGCAAAGCATGAAAGCGAAATTCAAATTCAAGAAAACAACCAAGTACCTAAGACCTGGCCTTTCCCGCCCGAAAAGCATGGAGAATGGAGACCAAGAAGGCTGGCTGCAGCGAATTTAGGTCCGGTCCTCTTTGATTACAGCGGGAGCTTCCTGACACCCGAGTACTGACCGAAAACAAACGAAAGGTTGAAAAGAGTTCGGGGAAGGGAAGCGCAGCAACAACAACTACTGGGATCCACCCCAGATAAAGCCCGAAATCTCTACACACACCTCGAGAAAAAAGAGGGGCAGGCGGCCCGTGAAAAATGGCAGAAGCGTGAAGTTCCAAAGTCTCTATGAGTTTGTAGTAGCAGTCCGTATCTAAGTATAAGTTATCGGTGATCTTCGGCGCTGCAGAATATTACTCATCATCATCAACTGCGCCCGTCAGTAGTAAACTACTCAAGAAAATCAACAACCTCTCCCCCTCAACTTTCCAAACCATCATTGAACGCAGATGGAACAGCGCTATCAGCTGACTGAAACTGGTAAATTTTTCCAAAGCACTAACAACCCCAGAGAAGAGAGAAACGTAAGTCGTAAGGAGTAAGTTACTGTACACTCAACCTCCCCCCCTTTCTTCTCTCTGTGCTATTGAGGTGGTATGATATCGAATAGAGGTTTTCTG